AGCACTGCCCCAAAAGGAATATTTGCTTTTCTTCATAACTGTACCAAATGACAGTAACATGCAGTAATAATAAGAAATATAATTTTGCTCAAACATGACAGTTCAAGGCAGTCTTTAGAAATATGATTCAATAAAAATGTTTACCAATGTGAAGATCCTGCCTGTTCAAATGTGTTTCTTTGGTCATCTGCATCACAGCACTTCTCATGATGTTGCCTCATTCGGGCCACCAGGCCTTACATTTCTTTGTTGCAGTGTTTGCAGTTTGCACGCATGCCTGCCTTACCGATAGGTAAAGGAACTTCATTAAAATATTGCCAAACTGGGTCTCTTTTACGGCCTGCTGCCATTATAGGTTTTTTCCTCCAAGGAAAGAATGTGATAAACTTCAAGTCATACACACAAAAAGATCCAAAGACTTGTCTGTCTGTGGCTGTGCAGTATTGTACTCAGAAAGTTTCACTTCCATTTTGTACTGCTTGTCTGCTTGCCCCTTCCTCCTCACACTTAGTTTCACTTTCTTCTTGTGCAGATCTATTCCACTCCAAACAATCAGAAAAATATTGTTTCTATTCTATTCACTGAACTTCTTGAAACTTAGCACTGAAGGGGTTGATTCTGTATTCATAGGTTTGTAGAACAATAGGATTAAGGTCTTTTTCTCAACTCTGTTCATGTTATAACATTTTTGCTGTGAAGAAGAGGCATGTGATCTCTGCTGAGTCAAATTCAGTTTTGAGAACTGCAAAAGTAAACCAAGCATCTGTGATAATATCTTGTAGGCAGAGAAACTGCCCAATAATCTTACAAAAACCTCTGGAAGAGCATGACATTGTGAATGGATTAATGGAATTTATTTACCCAAAAAATTAAACATATACAGCCTTATTCTACATAATTAAAAAACTAATCTTTATTTCATGATGGAATAACCTTTGGATGGTAATATATTTTCCTCAAAAAGCATTTTATTTTAAAAAATCCAATTTAAATCAAAAAAATCGATTTAAATAAAAAAAAATCTGATTTTTTTTATTTTTTAAAAAAAATCATTGATTTTTATCCACCCTGCTCTACACTTCATCTAATTCATTAATAATCTTGTCTTTATCTCGTAGAGCTGCGATAATTTCAGCCATCACTAGTGTTAGATCTTCATCTCTTTCTTCTCTTACATTCTGAAATCTTAAATAAAATGCCGCTCTCTCCATCTCTAAGTGTGCCACCGTGTTTTCTAACTCCTTGTTAAGTCCTGTCATTTTCTGGTCCAGTCGGTCTAATTTATCTTCCGTTTGTTCCGTTTTTTTTCCTATGGCCGTAATTCGTTGATTGTTTTTTTGTATTATCTCCTGAATTGAATTCATTTTTTCATCTAATTTTTGTATGTCCTCTTTAACCGCTTTTTTGACATCATCCAGATCTCTCCTAGATTCTTCGTGATTTTTAGTCATGCATTCCTGCATTTTTAACATCGTCTCTTGGATTGTTACTAGGATGGTCTGGACAGATTGTATACTCAAGGTGGGGGTCTGCTTTTCCTTTGGGAACATCCCTTCTATAGTTTTCTGTGCTACAGGAGAGGCTGTTGATCCAATTAATGTTGAAGTAATTTTCTTTCCTGATTTCACGGTGGTTGTTGTGGTGCTAGTCATTTCCTTCAAGATTTTATATTGTTCTCCTAAAATCCTGTCTATTTTTTCCCAAATCAGCATCTGCTTTTAACTCAATTTTCTTTCTTCCTCTCTTCCCCTTCTATCTTTTTCTTCTCTTCTTCCCTCTCCTTTCTCCTCTCTCTCTTTTCTTATACAGTACAATACTAATATGATTGAATAAAATCCTCCTAAAACATTTGCTAAAGTACCTTAATTAATATTCTGGATACTAATAACCTTATGCTATTCAATTCATCAGTTTATAATTTTCTAAAATTAACTTGACTTATGTATTTTCTATAAACAATAAATTTAATTAATTAATTAATTGATTGATTAAATATATTAAATTACTATATAAATATAAATTAATATGGACAATCAATTACTATACAGAAGAAAGAAAGAAAGAAAGAAAGAAAGAAAGAAAGAAAGAAAGAAAGAAAGAAATATAGTCAACAATCAAAATCTGATCCAAGCACATATAATAATACAATTAGGGAAGGAGCTATAGAAATATGGACAGAAATAAACAATAAATAGTTACTAAATATTCTGATTTGCTATTTACTATTATAATTAATTATCAAATAAATTAAGTAAATGTAGATTATTTATCTGTTCGACTGATTAATAAATATAAAGTTATTCACAATGACTTTTTGTTTGTTTGTTTGCTTTTTACTTGTTTGCTTTTTTGGTTAGTCAATAGGAAGTTCAAGGTAAATCGAGTATAGTCTTTCTTTTGGAGAGTTATTCCTCCCTCTGCTATATCAAAATGGCGATTCCAAATCTGCAGTGTCACTTTTGTATATCCTTACTTTTGCTGGTCCACGTTTTTTTCTCCATTAGAGCAGCTATATTATAGGTGAAGCTAATACCTCACATTCAATTCTCTTCACTTCCTTGCTTTCCGAAAACTCGATTTCCTCGATCGTCCTTTTTTCCGTTCCTCCGGTGTTTCCTACTGGTCTAGTTTCACCTACGCCACTTTTGCTCTCCTCGTTGTTTGCCGCCTGCTCCCACTCTTGAGTCCTTCTTCCTTTCAGCTGCCCCTCCAGGATCTAAATACTTCTTCCTCTCATTTGTCCAAAAATTTTGTAACATTTTAAACCTCCGCTCTCACCGCCGATCTTCACACCATATTCACTCTCTGCTTCCTGCTGTTCTCGTTCGGTGCGTCAGACCTCTGGGCCAGGCATTGCGGCTGCTTTTCTTCCACGTTCAAATCAAGAGTCCTTCTTGGTGTGGTGGGAGACTACACCTCTCCACACTTCCTCCGAAGACTCCCCTCTTTCTTGCCGGTCCCACCAAGACCGAACCTGTCCCTTAACGGGCACCGAAACGCTGGAAAATTGGCACTGGGTACAGAGCGATCTTTCCCCGTGCTGCTTCGACCTGCGTGCCGCCGGAAGTCGCAATCGAAAGTTTAGAAGGGGATTGGATAGGGTTTCCATCCTGCATTCTGTATCTTGCAGTAGCACGCTGGGAATGTTGGGAGTATTCAATAGCAGAAGATGCAGACCTATCTTCTCTCTTCATTGTTTCACGGCAACTGGTGTACAGAGGCTTGATTTTCCCAAGCAGGAGGGCTACTAAGTCAAGACTTTGATAGACCTCCATGAATTTATCTAATACCCCTTTCTGCGCCAACTCAGGAAGCTCAAACTGCCCAAGGAGCTGCTGATACAGTTCTACAGAGGAATTATTGAGTCTGTCATCTGCACCTCTATAACTATCTGGTTTGGTTCTGCAACCCAACAAGACAGACACAGACTTCAGAGGATGATTAGAACTGCAGAAAAAACAATTACTACCAACCTGCCTTCTATTGAGGATCTGTATACTGCACAAGTCAAAAAGAGGGCTGTGAAAATATTTACAGACCCCTCGCATCCTGGACATAAATTGTTTCAACTCCTACCCTCAAAACGACACTATAGAGCACTGCACAACAAAACAGCTAGACTCAAGAACAGTTTTTCCCCGAACACAATCACTCTGCTAAACAAATAATTCCCTCAACATTGTCAAACTATTCACTAAGTCTGCATTACTATTACTATTAATCTTTTCATTGTTCCTATCACCCATCTCCTTCCACTTATGACTGCATGACTGTAACTTTGTTGCTTCTAACCTTACGATTGATATTGATATTGATTGTTTTTTAGTATGATTTGATTGCTTATTTGTACTCTGTGACTATCATTAAGTGTTGTAGCTATGATTCTTGACGAATGTATCTTGTCTTTTTATGTACACTGAGAGCATATGCACCAAAGACAAATTCCTTGGGTGTCCAATCACACTTGGTCAATAAAGAATTCTATTCTCTATTCTATTTAAAACCTAATTTCATAGGTATCTCCATATTCTGTGGTAATTAATTCCACAGATAACTTACGAGTTTAGGGGTAGAAATACATTCTTTTGTTTGTTCTAAATCTCTTCCCTAGCTAGCAATCTAAATTTGACTTCCAGGACCAGCTGACTAATTATAAGATTCTTCAGTGTTCTTATGATTGATGTAGAACATAGAATAACATGGTTGCAAGGGACCTTGGAGGTCTTCTAGTCCAACCCTTTGTTTGAGCAGGGGACCCTATACCATATTTGGGGCAGAAGCAGTACCCAATTTGTAGTAAATATTATGTATAGACACATCATCTTCCACTTCTGACTTCTGGTAAGATCATGGCTTGTTTTTTTAGGGTAATTATTCATAATTTTCTCAATATCTGGTTATCTGATGATCTCATTTGATTAATCTTCAGGGCCTATAGGGATGCTTTTTGAAAACATCAAAACTGTGACAATAAGTTCTTGACCTTTAGTCAGCATTTGTTCAGATTTATGATCCCAAAAGAAAACTATGTGGTACATCCATTTTGTCAAGCTTGCCCCAAGCAGGTTGTTGTAACTCCATTACTCCAGACATCTCTGAGAGCATCTACAATCAACTTTAGGTGGAAATCACACCTATATGATCCCTCCCAATTTATAGAATGTGACTCCCATTTCTGGATGCCATAGTTTGATCAGTCTTGACCAAATGCTACCTGCATTCATCTACTCAGGACCAATTGTTGCTTCAACATCTGGTAAATCATTCAACATGAATCGGTGAACCTGGGTCATTTTGTCACAAATGTAAACCAGAAGTACAGGAAGAAGAAAAAAAATATCTAAGATCTTTTTTCAACTCCTCTAATATTGTCTGCATCAATAGTGACAAATGCTGATCTTCCCCATAGATACTAGTTGCCATACCCACACTTGTTCATTGTTAGAACAATGCCAAATCTGAGGATCACTTAAGAACTGTTGAATATTTGTCTTTGCCAGGCAGATTCTCAAGCACAAATCCTTAATAAAGGACAGTTTGAAACATTCAGATATCTTTAGTGGACTTTGTGAGGACATCTTGTTTTCTTTCCAATCTTGCTTGCAGCTGGCTGAACACATGAAACTGTCTGGAACGCAGGTGAATAAATTAAAACTTCCTTAAACTGATGCTCTCAGATATCTTGGGAGGAAAAGTATCAGGTCCTAACTAGTGTGGCTCTAAGCCTTAATCTGGTGCTGTAAAGCAGCGGTTTAGCAGGGACTTCATGGAAAAAATGATGTAGTTTTCTTACATCAAGCATGTTATATCCTGGCATACAAATTATAATTTTTTTCAGACTAGCCATAAAATGCCTGACATACAATGGAAGCAAAGATCTTGTTAAAAATCAGCCTATTTTCAAAATCCTTAAGCACTTGTATCAGATTATTAAATTTACATATTAGCATCTGTACCACAAATTTTATAATATAACCAAGAGTTTCCCTCCTCACTTCTTCTGATCATATTAAATTGTCATTATCATGCACATCAGTGATTAGAAGACCTCTGTTCTATATTGCCGCAGTTCCTATCCTGAATTGACTTATCCCAGAGGAGTGGGAATGAGATAACTTGAATTTAGATAATTTTTATAGTGTGTTGTTAGTGCTGTACATTTCAGCTATTCTATTTTTATTTTTTATTTTTGAATAGGAGATTATTGATTACAAGGTATTCCAGAGAACGATAAAACTGTGTAGATTCTTTGCCAATTCTCTAATGCATTACATCAAGGTAAGAGTTGTAATTGGCTTCAATTTAATTAAAATAATTTAGCATTCTTACTAATGGTGGTGCCATGCACTTTTTACCCAAAGCTACAAATGAACATGGCCAAACTTCTTTCTATTCTTTTTCACTAAATCTTCCATTTGAATACTAATGGTAGTATTCCGTGTAGTGCTTCTAAATCAACAAAAACACTTCTTGATGGAAATATTCTGAACTACATTACAAACTAAGTAACATTAAATTATATTGGCAAGTGTATTATTAACCCCATTTCTAAACTTTAAAATGCTTCCAGGAGATCTTGCATATCATTTGGCCCCCAACAGTGAATGCAGTCCTGTCATTTATCAGAGATGATGTCAAACTACAGTGACAGTTACGCACCAACAAGCTGCTCAATAACAGAAAAGAAAACTTCATTAGATTTCTGAATCTTTAATTTAATGTGCAAGTCTCTTTGTTGCTTTGCCCAAACTCTGTGTAACCCTCAAGATTGTGCAGGAAACAAAATTTAAAATTCATAGTTTTAAGTCAGTGGGGTTTTTTTTATAATTATTCATGTGACTTATATCCTGTCTTCTGCTACTAAAGCAGCTAACTAATTATTAAAATTAAAAGTACAAAATTAAAAGTACAAAAAGTTACATTATTATTAATTCATCAATTAATTAAATAAAGCCCTGGCAAAAGAGAATGGGAGGGCAAAATAACTTCTATGATAATGAAGCCCACAACCTGGGAGCAATGCCAGAAGCAACGTTCTCTCCTCTGCCCCATAGAAATGGACTCTGAGATAAAGAATGGATAGTTTAGTATCCAGTTAGATAAATGAGAGAAATGGTTCCCTGTAAGCCAGTCAGGTTTTTAAAAGTTAACACTAATATTCTAAACAATACTTGGAAAGCAATGAGTCACCTGGGCAGATATTTCATTATAGGCACATTTGACTCTTCTTTCTTGTGCTAGTTTATATCTAGCTGTACCATGGGTGAAATCTAAAATTTTTTACTACCGGTTCTGTGGGCGTGGCTTGGGGGTTAATGTGACTGGGTGGGCGTGGCCAACTTTTTATTTTTTATTTTTAAAAGCATTTTTTCTACAACCTCTTCGGCCGAAGAGGTTGCAGAAAAAAATGCTTTTAGAAGCCTCTGATGATCCCAGCTGAGCCGTGTGATCATCAGAGGCTTTTTTTTTTACTTTTGAAAGCATTTTTTTCTGCCAAAGAGGTTGTAGAAAAAATGCTTTTAAATTTTTTTTTTAAAAAAAGCCTCTGATGATCTCGCGGCTCTGCTGGACATGGGGGGGGGGCAGGGATTTTTGCTACCGGTTCTCTGAACCACCTGCCGCCATCGCTACCGGATCAGGCAGTCCGGTCTTAACCGGGAGCATTTCACCCCTGAGCTGTACCATGTTTTGAACCAGCTGAACTTTTCAAGGCTGGATCTTAGTAGCATACATTAAAACAGCTGAGATGGAGTGTGATCAGGTTGTGGATAAAATTTGCTAAATTTGAAGTAGCATACTAGTTATAATTGCACAAATAGGTTTTTCATCACAGGTGCCAACATAACTAAGGATTAAAGAGCATTTCCAATCCATAGATTCTAGAGAGAGCACAACCTTATCTGGACTCTTGGCCTCCGATTCCAGTTTACTGTTGCTCAGTATCCCCTCTCATTGGTTTTGGAGTTTTTGGCATTTATATTTAACACTGTTTAACACTGTTTACTTTATAGGAGTTCACTTCATTCCTAGTAGATTCTTGCTATCAGCTTCACCAGACATATCTGCAAATATACAGGTAAATGAAACATAGCTAATAACGCTTTGATTTTACTGTAGAATGCTCCCTCTATCTGTATTTTCTGAGCTTGGAATATGGAACTAATTTGAAAGCCATTTTCCAGATATGATTCTCAAACTTGGAATTACAATACAAAGCTGGAATTTTTGGTATTCAAGAAATGAGCCACATAAACTAAAGTCCAGTGCTGAGTATGCTGAATGAGTCTGTGATTGTGTTGCTATATTATGGATTTATTTATTTATTTAGCGTATGGTTGGTCACACACAGTATTAAAACACTTCATTTTTACAGGTTAAAAACAATAAAAACAATAAAAAAAACAATAAGAAAACCTAAAAGGAAAACAGAAATAACATTTCAAAGTTTAATGTCGAGTTTGGAGATCCAGTCAGTAGCTGCCGTTGTTATGCAGAGGAAGTCCCTAGAATCTCCTGGATACCTTCTGTTAGGGCATTCCCTCACTATATGCTGGATAGTCTGTCGAGGGGCCCCGCAATCACATTGTGCTGAAGGTGTCTTTCCCCATTTATACAGGGAGTCAGCACACACCCCATGAGTTGTTCTAATTCTATTATATGTCACCCATATGTGTCAGGGTAGGCTAAATCCTGGAGGTATACTACTAGGACTGATATGCTCGGAGACATCTTGGGGGGAACAGCTATTCCACGCCTCCATCCACTTTTGTGTGGTGTTCTGATGATCGGCCATCAACTTACGCGCTGTCAAGATTGGTGGATTTCTTGACTTTAATCGGCATCTTAAGAGATCAGGAATGTATCCATGTATGGGTAGAGAGGAATTTAATAGGATCTTACTATACTCCCGAATGAGAGCTTGTTGTCGTAAATGCGGGGGGAGTGTCAGGGCATTTATTAATCCCATGTTTGGCTCTGGGACTAATTACCCTGGTTTAATTAGAGGAGATGAATCGAGGCTTATTCCTTGTTGCAATATTCTGAAAAAGAAACGCGGAGAAAAGTTTCTAATAAAACTCATTTATTTGTTATAAAGAAAATAAAACACCTCACTAACTAAGAAAAGTTAATTGCTACATTTTTGAAAGTTATTCTTGCTGGCTATCTCAGCCGGACCTTGCTGGAAAGAGAACAAAGGAAAGAGTGTGTGAAGCAAGTGAAGGAATGTGGGTGGATGGACATGCGTAGTAGCTTTTGATAACAATTCATGGCAAGGTACGGAAAGTCTGATAGTCCAGAAATGATGAGTTCAGCTGGCAAATAAAATAACGCAGTGACAGGGAGTATGTGACTAAGAACTGGTAACCAGTAACTAGGTGTAGATTTTATGCACCCAGTAATTAGCCTCATCATATGGTTAAGTTGAACATCAGTAAGTCCTGTATGTGAGCTGTTTATCCATACAGGTGCACAGTATTCCGCTGCAGAGTAGCAAAGCCCGAGGGCTGCACATTGGAGAGTTGGGGCTGAAGCTCCCCAAGTTGTTCCGCATAGTTTTTGTAGGATGTTATTTCTGCTGTTAACCTTGGCAGCCATATTCTGGATATGTTTCTTAAAGGATAGGGTCCTGTCTAAGGTGACCCCCAGGTATTTTGGTGTTGCCTCGTATGGAAGCAGTTTGTTATTTAGGTATACATTGAGTTCTCTTTTTGTCAATTTGTTGTTGAGGTGAAAACATGATGTAACTGTTTTACTTACACTTGGGATTAACCTCCATTGGTGGAAGTATGTGCTCAAAGTTGTAAGGTCGGCTGTAAGTACGCCTTCTGTAGCTTCGATGTCCTTGTGGCTATATGCTAATGCCAGGTCATCAGCATAAGAGAACTTTTTTGATATCGTGAGTGGTATATCAGAAATGTATAGATTAAATAGAGATGGAGCCAGCACGGAGCCCTGAGGGAGTCCGTTATTCAGGTGTCCTTGCTTACTGATTTTGTCACCCATGATGACTTGGAAGGTCCTTGCTGAAAGCATGTTATTTATTAGGCGGCCCATAGTCCTACAGGGGACAGCGTGGAGGAATTTCTTTAATAGGCCCTCCCTCCATACTGTGTCGTATGCTGCTGTGAGATCCACAAATACAACAGATGTTTTCAATTTATTCTGATAGCTGCTTTCAATATGGCTTGTAAGACTAAGTACCTGATCAACACAGCTCCGATAAGATCTAAACCCAGCCTGTTCAATCGGTATTTGTTCGTTAATTTTCTGTCCAATTATTATATTAATTATATTATATTTATTATTATATTATATTATATTATATTATATTATATTATATTATATTATATTATTATATTTATTATGGATTATAATAAGCAAAAGCATAATTGTCTGCCTTCCCAAATCCTATGCCTTACATGTAACTAACCTCCATAGCCATGGAACTTAAAAATATTAAATTGTTTTCCTGTAAGCAAGATACTGTTTCAAGGGATCTCTGGTTCAGATAGCAACAATAACATCTCCAAACAAAAACCATTCCACTACTTCTCTGCTGTTCCTCAGATTTAATTGTTAAATGAATGGGGGTATTAACAACCAGGAAAAAAAATCTTTGAATTTGGAGTCTTTGGGAAGCAGATTGTCCTATTAGATAACAGGTAGTTGAAAAACATACAGCAAACACATTGGTCACTAGAAGAGAGAATGCTAGCTATCATGGGCTGGAAAGCGCCTAAATTTTGTATTATTCAGAACTCGAACAGAAATTAAAATAGACTGAAGATAGAGAAGCTAAAATTTTATTTATTTATTTATTTAGTAAATTCATATGTCGTCCATTCACCCAATGTTTATGTAGTGTGTGATAATGTCCTTCTGCATATTACTATTTCATATAAACAAATACTTTTTATCATATTTCTGTCTACCACCACTTCTTGCTTAGCCAAGTTTGAGTCAGTTTAGGATCTTTGCCCTCTATAGGCAAATACACTGACTGCATTTTACCCCATTGCAAGAAGAATGGGTCAGTCATGATGTCCCTGTATTGAAATGAAAACTTCTGTGAGAAAATCCCAACATGCAATGCAAAATAAATCCTTAGTAACACCACACCTGGAATACTGGATCCAGTTTTGGTCACCACATTACAAAAAAGATGTTGAGACTTAGGAAAAAGTGCAGAGAAGAGCAACTAAAGGCCTGGAGATTAAAACAGATGAAGAACGGTTGCAGGAATTGGGTATGGCTAGTCTGGAGAAGAGAATGACTAGGGGTGATATGATAGGAGTATTCCAGAATTTGAGGGGCTGCCACAAAGAAGAGTCAACTTATTTTCCAAAACACCAGAAGCTGTGTCCAAATCCTGTCCAAATCCTGTTCAGAAAGACCATGACACACTACAGCACCACAACACTAAGAAAAGCAGAAGAGAAACGGCTGTTCGACGCCTTTCTCCCTAATGGCTATCCCAAAAACTTCATATTCTGACACACACCACCCAAATCACAACATAACACACAACCAACCACCATGCAGAAACTAACCCTACTGTACACCAAAGGAGTGTTGGAAATGACAGCCAGAATCCGCCAACTCCTAGGAATAACAATAGCCCACAAATCCACAGCCACACTCCACCAGGTATTATCCAGAACCAAATACAGAAGGATGAAAGAAACAATGTAATCTACAAAATCAACTGTAACAATTGAAACCAATTCTACCTAGGACAATCATCAAATCAATTAAAAACCAGGACCCACGAACACTACCTGGCAGTCAAACGCCACGATCCCAAATCCTTAATCTCTACCCACACTGACACCAAACAGCACCAGTTCGATTGGAGCACAAAGATCATTGGCCACGCTACCACCCGCCACGCTTGTGAGTTCATTGAAGTCTGGCACTCCACAAGCAATTCCATCAACAGACACATTGACCTACAACCAGCCTACGAACCCCTCAGAATCCAATCTACCACACAGCCAACCAGAGACAGCATCGACCCTCAACCAACCCATGCAACACCCCCCCCACCAGCAGTTCACCTCCCAATGACCCTGACTTGATGTAATCTTATCACAAGACCCATCACAAGACATAGCTGGCCCATCACAAGATCTCACTCGACACACCTGAAGCCCTTATAAACAGAAGAACACCAACACTGACATGCCCTAAACTCTGCTGAAGATGTTACATAGCCTGGTAACGAAATGTTCAGAAACTAACCCACAAGCTTGGAGAAATCTATCTGTATTCTCTCGTGGCAATTGATCACCCCCAAGAAATTTGTCCTGGATTTCTTTATTGCTATACAATTTCTTAATTAAAAAGTATTGAGCAAGATGCTTCAGACTGTGATGGTAATCCAATATCAGTCTCACTTCTACTGTAGAAAAAGCTAAAATACAGGTGGGAGTGCTTTGAACATTATCTTTAGTTTTTATAAAAAAGAAGGGATATAAATCTAACAAAGGTTTAGATCCTTTACAGTACAGTATGGAAAGAAGCCATTTGATTCCTGGACCAACGATTCCTGAACTGTTTAATTCCCACATAAAAGTTTAATTTCTACATGAAATAATGGAGATTGCAATTGAGCACCTTCTGTATGCCAAATCAAAACAAAAAAGAATGCATTGGTGATTCTTTCCTGGTAATTCAGGAAATGCTGAATTTGCAGGAGGAGAACCATTTTAGTCTGTAGATGTCAATAATCAGAAATGGTCTGGTAATATAGATAGTCCTTGGCCTACAATCATTCATTTAGTGACCATTTGAAGTTACAACAGCACTGAAAAAAGTGATTTATGACTGTTTTTCACATGACTGTTGTGGCATGCCCATGGTCATGTGATTAAAATTTACACACTTGGCAACTGACTCATATTTATGATGGTTGCAGTGTCCCAGGGTAATGTGATCCCCTTTTGCAACCTGAGAAGCAAAGTCAATGGGGAAGCTAGGTTCACTTAACTGGGTTATTAACTTGACAATTCCTTAACTGGAATTGTGGCAAGAAAGATTGTAAAATGGGGCAAAACTCACTTAGGAACAGAAATTTTGGGCTCAATTTTGGTCGTAGGTTGAGGACTACCTGTAGTTTTTAAGACTAACAATTTTGTAAAGATTTTGTAAACTACCTCAGTTTTCCTCCCTGCCTCAGCATATTTAAATCTGATATCAATTAGGCCCTCCCATATGTGTTGATTAAATTGTAGCTCACAATAGCTTATGCCTTGCAGTACATTGGTTATCTTATAAGGTCTTTCTGAAGTGCTAAATGCTACCGTTGAACTTCTAATCAGTTGGGAATAAAATATTTGAAAATCTGTAAATGGCTCTATGTACTGTTTTGAATCCTAAAAGTTCATTTTTTTTTCATTTAATATTATACCTCAATAGTTAAGGCGTGTTAAGTACTGTATAAGAAATGAGACTTGCATAATGCATACAGCAATGAGACACTCTGCATTCTTTTTCAACAGTAAGTTTCCACCAAGTCTTCATGGTCTGGTGATTTCCGAGGCTCATCAGGATGAAATAGCCAGGGGATTCCTAATGTCACTGGATTCTCTCCTCCTGCCGTTACTTTCCTTTAGGCCTTTTGTAGAAGTCGTGTTAAGTAAAACTTTAGGTAGGTTTAAAAGTCCTGAATATGCTCCAGTATTTTAACTTGTCACAAAGGAATATTACTATATATACAAAGGCTCTTTTCCTTATTTGTGTCTTGTAAAATATAGACTCACTGCAACAGTATTGCGTGCATTTTCAAATCTAATGTTGACATAATCTGCTTAATTCAACTTTTTTTTTATTTTCTTCTAGCTAATGGGATTTTCAGACAAAAATAAAGTAAGAAATATGTTAGCTGCATCTGATTTCTTTACTTTTATAGATATATCATAGCTCAAGCATGAGTAATCAAGATTGGTTCTAACTCTTCAAACTGCTAATTAGAACTGAGATTAACGACCAAAGCAGGAAAGAAAGAAAAATACAGTTTAAACTTATGAATAGCAAATATTTTTAAAATATAGTTTTCCTAGTAAGATAGTTTAGGTTGTCATTACAAATTTCAGTTCCATGCACTATCAAGATATAAATTCTAGTATTTTTAGGGCTGTACATTTTTGTGGATTAGTTAGACTTGACAAACTTGAGAAGGCAATACAAATTATGTATTTATTTTGTTATTTATTTAATCAAAATGTGTTTGCTGTCTATTTTTCCAAATTCCAAACTTCAGCTCTCTCTCCTGAGCTGCATTTTCCACAGTGTCAGCTTCTTCTTTCTCTAATGGAGATGTTACCATCCCAGCCCCAGGATGTGCAGGCCCTGTGGAACAGAGGAAGTCAGCTCCCAGAAGAGATTCCCAGGTGCTTTCTACTGCCATGAATCTGTGTTGGCATGTGTGGTTGTATTTGAGCCTGATTATTCTCTGCTGATAAGCCAAGACCTTGACACATCCTGAACTTACTTTATGAAAACAGATTATATTGTTCTAGTGAAGGAAATGTAGTATTTGGTTTTAATGAAGCAAGTGAAATTCAACATTGAGTTTTAAATTAGTCTGTTTACGATATTAATGATGACATACTAACTTATATTTGACTTATATAATTGGTGTCATCCTTCAGTTTGTTTTTTTCCAGAAATCTAGTGATTAATAATATGCTTCAGTCTCTATTTGTTTTAGTGATGTGTGAGGACGAGTACCAAGGAACTTTGTAGAGCATGAACTCTTCTGTTCTGTTTCCTCACAGGTTGCCCTTGTTTGCAGCCTTATTGCTTAGTCTTCAGCAGTGCCCTAGTGAGCTCTCCCTTCCTGTCTTCTTGCAAAGAGCAACAGAGACAGAACAAGCTGAGGGCCCTCTCACCTTTTACCACTATGTTTGCATCCACTTGTGTACCTTTATAACTTCCCTCTCAGTTTCACATTTCCATTTACTGGTAAGGAATATTGCAACTCTTAACTTGAAGAGTTTTTAAACTTTAAAATCAGGCATTTATTTTGGGAGATTTGGATAGATCATGCTTCACTAATGTGGATTATACTAGTACATCAATAACTGATTTAAAAATAAAAGAAATGCACACAATATATTATCATTATTAAAATTGAGCTCTTATTAGCTTCACCTTTCAGTACATTGTTGCTCTTTCCTCCATCCATTTCCCCACATGCACGCTCGCTCACTTTGCTCACGCGTGGCCTAAAAAAACAGCAATTATATACAACGGGATAGCGCCAGGGCAGGTGGGCTGGCCCAGCCACTGGTCGGAACTGCCGGTTCACCCAAACCGGTCTGAACCGGCAGCAGCCCACCTCTGCTTTCTCCCTAATGGAATCATGATTTCTTAATGCAACAATTATTATGTATAATTTCAAAATACGCTCAAAGCTGCTAGTCAGATCCTAAAGTATTTTTCTGTAGTTCTATTCAGCTGGGAGTCTGCCTTTTCTCTTTACTGCCTATGGGATGATAATTAAAAAACCAACTTTTGATTTCTCTGTGTCTGTTTGTTATCTGTTTAATGTTTAGGAATCTTTCCTGCTGGAAACTCTATTAGGTCCAAATATGATCATGGCTCTCCTAGCTATGGATGTCTGGTGCTTCCTTGCCCGGTAAGATCAAAGGTGTGCTGAAGGATGAGGGGCTACAACAAAGGGTGACACAAGAGCTGCTTATCTACTTATCCCTTACATTACAGTTATTCCATTTTTTTCCATTCAGGGTAAAAATGCGCTTGCTTAGAACTAAATGAAAATTTGAATTCAGATGTTCCCATTGAAAGATCATTCCAGAGTAATAGTGATTGACTGGTCATGGATTTATATACTAATCTTGCTGTCTTTCTCATCTTCTAGGTATGGAACAGAAGACCTATGTGCACACCATGCATTTATAATAGCACACGTGGTAAGTGGCATTTGGTTTTCTTATAAAAAGCTAATTTGAACTAAGCAGAAATAGTAAAGTCAGGCAAAGAACAATGTAAAGTTTAAATGGTTTAATTCCAGAGTTTTTGATACCTTGGAAAGTGTTATTTTATAATAATAGGGAAATGCTAATTTCTCCCCTCCTTTGCCTGACTTGCTTATACACAAAATGCTAAATGCTGCTTTTGTAATTTAGAAAAACAGGAGTAAAAGAAAAAATAGTCAAATTGATTACTGCATTGGTGATGATGGGCACATATCTAAACTGAGTGCTTTCAGATTACTTAAAGCTGTATTCCTGGCCAAGCCAGTGTTTCTCTTGGGGCTCTTTCCCTGAAATGTTGGGACTTGGGTGAAATTCTTTTGGAGTGCTCAGTTGTGATTAATTTTGGTAAGCATTTTTTAAAAATGTGTTTTGTATTTTTACTTAAGTTGTCGGGACCTTTACTAAACCATTTCTTGTTTTTTGTGTGCTTTGATATTAAACTTCTGAATAAGAAGAAACTCTTCTTATGAAAGCAAAATAAGTGCATTTGAAGAGATTGATTTGGTCAGTTAGGCTAGATAGTCTTTATGGCAGAAATTTTGCATTTCTGATGACGAATTTATAAATGTTGAGATAAATATGATGATGGATTAATTGTTGCCTAAAATTAGGCCAATCTGTGCATAGGTGCAGATCCTGGGAATTCAGATAAAGTTGATTAAATATTGTTTCGTTTAAAAACCATCTGTTTTGTGTTCAAATTTAGGTAAAAGCTTGTCCTGCTGAATGTTATCAAGTCTCTTTCCTAGGGGTGCTATTACGACGTTTGCTCTTTCTGATGGCCCCAGATCACCAGGCAAGTCTCACCTGCGTCAGCTTATAAATATTGAGCTATCCTTCTTCATTGTGAATATCAACTCACTAGCTAATATGAATCAGGTTTTTTTGTTTGTTTGCAATGAATGGTAAAATACCGTGTTTCCCCAAAAATAAGACCCTGTCTTATATTTTTTTGAAGCCCGAAATAAGGGCTTGGCCTTATTTTCGGGGGGGGGGTCTTATTATTTTGGGGCACAATTTGTGGGTGGCAGGTGGGGAGGGGGAGAAGGCTTAAAGGCCCAGTGCGGCACTTCCCCTAGCCTGCCCGCCCGCGCTCTCCTTCGACCGCCCTTCTCCAAGCTCTCCGCGCAGCCTCCCCTCCCCTTGAGCCAAACCGGCCAAGAGGCGCGCACAAATTCGCTCATAGCAGCGAGCCAAACCCGTCCAGAGCCTCACCACTTTCGGTCGCTGCCTCCCTGGCCTGAGGCTCCTGCAGTGCACCCTTTCGCTTAGGGAGGACATGCCCTTTTCTGGCTGGTTGCTGCTTTCAATAAATGTCACAGCGGTTTCCCTCTCTCTCTCTCTCTCTTTCTCTTTCTCTCTCTCTTTCTCTTTCTCTTTCTCTTTCTCTTTCTCTTTCTCTCTCCCTCTCTCTCTCTCTCTCTCTCTCTCTCTCTCTCACACACACACACACACACACACACACACACACACACACACACACACCGTTCTTTCTTTGGGATCACAACACAGATGCCCCTTCCAGAATTGCAAGGCTGAAGGCTTCGGATGGAGCATTTTGGGGATGCGATCCCAAGTACGGAAAGATCGGCAGGAAAAGGGGGAGGAGGCCGGCAGCTGGGGAGGGGCTCTGGATATCTAGGCCGAGTTGCACAGCTCTCGCTGGCTTAGCTGATCAGCAGGCAGCAATTAAGGGGCTGAACCTCCAGGAGGTGACTGGGGAAGGGAAAGGCTGCCTTCTGTGCTGGCCATGCCCACCCCTTGACTAGGGCTTATTTTCGGGGGAGGGCGCATATTTATGCCCACCCCAAAAATCAGGCTTGGTCTTATTTTCGGGACATGTCCTATTTTTTGGGAAACACGGTATACTTGCTCATTATTGCAGGACACTTTATTTCTGATGATTAATTATAACATGGAATGAAAAAGGAAGATTTTCTTTTCCCTTAATTTGACTATCAATTACTTTTCCACCTGGTATGAAATATTTAAGATGGCTAGAAATACCTTTCAATGTTCTTCATTGTGGCCTCTGTGTTTCTATCATGTGCCTTTTGTGGCTGCTCATGATATAATTTAGAATATCTTAGAGCAGGGTAGACAGCAGCCAATAGGCTTCTGTGCATTCCCAGGGCTCCTGTCATAAATATTACTGAAATTAATGTCACAATTCCCGTCATTTGAAGACAACCAATAAATGGAAATTATTGTATAAGTCCCCAAATAGGTTTTGCATAACTTAAAAATCAGAGCCCTTCCCACAAAACAAAACAAAAACACTCTTCTGAAAACTAGGCAGAAGCCTCTTTGGCTTTCTGTATTTAGTAAACAGCTTATAAATGATGATAGCCTAAAAGTGACATTGGTAGCTTGTGATAGGGTCTTGCTTGTATTTGTATGAGAAGAGGAATAGTTGAATGTAATTCCAAAAAAATCACTGTGGAAAGGTTGTTAAAATTGCATTCCTCAGAGCATCTAACTGACTGAAGATTTCTTTTCAGCCTTTTCTTTTAGTGTTAAAAGTATAAATATATTTTAGAGTTATTGCTGTGGGTGGAAGACAGCTATATTCTGGATAGAAGAGTAAATTGTTGAATTTTTTCCACTTTCATGCAGCGTTTATCCCATGCTTTTTTTTTTTCATTTCTTTATAGATAAAATTCACCCAAAAGTTTCTTCCAAAAGATTCTGAGAACTTACTACTGTGGCAACACCTTTCTCTCCAGGCTCTGTTACCATTACATAGACATCAGGTTGCTCATGAACTTTTTGTGGCAGGACTTGTGCGATGTCAGGAGTGGCTGAATAGTGAAAAGTCATTGAATGAACTTCCACAAATAGTAAGAAAAAGTGTGAATCGAAGGATTCTTTTTATGAATTAAAAACTCATGGGGGTTGTTTTGTCTTCCTTAGTTCCCATCTTTTCTGAGAATCTTGCACATATAGACAGATAGACCAATATCCTGTGGTTTTTCATAATACGGGATTTAATGATTCCTGGCTTTATAAAGAAGAGTGGCCTGACTGTATCCAGCACCATCTACTGCAGTGAATCTCCATGAAGGATGGAAAGTTCTGAATTACAAAGCTATTACTTGAAAGAGAGCGCAGTTAGTTATTTTCCTCCTCCTTGTGATTGCAGAGAAAACCAGAGCGTACAGAAATAGCTTCTGCTGCTTTTAGAGAACCGAATATTCCAACAAAAACCCAACATAATTGATTTACCTTAATTTTGGTTTTATAGCCTCTGAACTTCTCTTTAAATTCTTGTACTAAAGCACTGCTGTAGGCATTTAATCTTGGAAGATAATTTCATTAGAACTCCATACTGGAGGAGTTGTTCTGTTGCAAGATGATTCTTACATTATTTCTATCTTCTTACAATTCTTCCCTTGGTTCCTAGAACATGGCTCTCTCAGCCTTGCTGTCTATGTGCCAGAGTGCTAGGGAGACCCTGAAGGAGGAAGAGCAAGCAGCACTGATGGGAGCTCTTGGCCAGATTGCAGTCCATCTGTCAGCTACACAGGTAAAGAATGTTAATTTCAGCTGCATTTGCTTGACTTCTTTAGATATAATGAGGGAGATATAAAATATTTTTGCTAGTGAAATGGAAATCGTATTCCATCTTATTCCTGCTTTTTGTTTTAATACCTGGAGTTCTACCTCATTGTAATAGCTTCCCAGGACAAATCAAACATCACATCATATAAAATGTGATTGCAATATCTGTTGTGTGCCAGAAGAAAAATGTTCTGTGTAGTCCCAATTTATCTTTGGCAAAATGACCGTTTTCAATGGCATGGTTTTTTTCTCCATTTTCTATGAAATAAGTGTATTAAGCCTCTCTCCTTTTATCACTACCATGTTCCCTGAAATCTTAGAAGCCAATGGAGAATAATTTTTTAAACTGTATCCTCTTATTTAAAAGGTAGTTTAATTCATAATTCAATATTCAAGAAGGGTACCTACTCTGTAAGTTTTAAAATATGGATTTTAATAAGCCAAGTAGTTGATCAATAATAAAACTGACTGCTGCAACAAAGAAATTATGTATCTCTTCCTGACGTTAATATTAGCAACTGCATGTGTAGTTCCAGAATCTTGTTTAAACAGAGAAATGGGAGCTTGGGGTGACACAAAATGTTACTTCTATCAATTAAGATATCCAGTCTAGCCTGTTTCCAGCAGACGTTTTGCTTGACACTTCAGCTTCTCCAGCTGTTCATTGAAAGATTAGAACCACAGTTGCTAATTCAGGTAAGAAAAGATTTGGTGGGTGGTAGGCTTGATTTAGATGCACAATTGACTAATGTACTGCTTTTCAAAGCTAGTTTTAGTTAAATATACATAATGTATAAATAAATAATCTGGGGTTATATCAATTGTGGGAATATGAAAATGCCACATTCCTGCCATTCTTTATCAAATTGTGGAAAGTCTGGTAACGAATAAGCCAAACTACTTCATGCTTCCCAAAGTTCGTTAATTTCCCTGTTCAGTGAATAACTCCAAATTAAAACATCTGAGACAAATGACAGCTAGCCTACATTTGAACACAATCAGTAAAGTTGAGCCCTCTATTTCTGGTAACTGGTTCTGCTATCAAAACACTCTCACTGTTAGAAAGGTCTTTCTGACTTGCCATCAGAATCTTCTGTCTTCTAATTTTTAAAAAAGTTTTTTCTATGACCCACTCTCTAGAACAAGAAAAAACATGTCTTTACTTTCTTCTGTGTAACATCTTTTCTGGTATTTGAATTCTGCTATCTTCCTCCATGTTTTCTTAAGGCTAAAAATACAATTACAATTTCACAATTACCATCACCGTCCTATTTCTATCATTTGTTTATTAAATCTTAATTTTTCATATGTCACAAATGTGGCTGTACTTTTCTTGCTTAATGAGAGTGCAGGATTTGCTTAATGATGGCAATCAGAACTGCCAGAATTGCTGTTGGTAACCGGTGTAGCCCCATGACATTGTACTTTAGAACCGTGCCATTAATGATGGAAATTCGATAATGAAATTGCTGTCGTTAACAGAGGACCACCTATAATTTTGTTCCATTTTAATTTAGGCTCACATTTTGGATGGGTATAGTGTTACAATATATTGATGACATTGAATTCTCTTTCTGTGTTAGCATAAAATCAGTACAAATCAAACAATAACATATGTGTGAGAGTGTGATATTCACAAAACAAGATAGGACTATTGCAGTTCTGAGAGAAAGTATAAACTCAGTCCAAAATGAGCTGCTACTTACATAAATGAGTTTTTCAGAATGCTTCAGCACTCATTTTTTATTTTACTGAATATTATATGCAATAGTGTCTTCATGAGCTAAAGGTAAGCAGTTTATCTTATAAAAAGGAAGAAAGGATAAATGAGCAAATTGAATATTGATCATAAAAAGCAGCATCAAAAATTATTCAGTATAATTTATTTTCTGCAATTTTTCTTGTTTGATACTTATTTTCTCCATAGATACTTTCACTACAAACTTCCCTTTTGCAATTGAATTCCCCTGATCATGTTGTGATTGCAGTGTTAGATTTTCTTTCTTCAGTGGGAAGACCTATTATTCCTCCAGATTTCCAGGTAAATAAAGAGAACTGTCATTCTGTTCTCTCTTTTCTGTATGTATTTTCTTTGATGTAATCTTTGGAACAATTATAGAAGAAGCCCTCCCTGGACCCGGCTGTATTAGCGAACTATCGTCCAGTCTCCAACCTTCGCTTTGTTGCGAAGGTTGTTGAGAGTGTGGTGGCGCGACAACTTCCCCAGTACCTGGATGAAGCTGTCTATCTAGATCCGTTCCAGTCGGGCTTCAGGCCGGGGTACAGCACGGAAACGGCATTGGTCGCATTGGTTGATGATCTCTGGAGGACTCGGGACAGGGGCTGTTCCTCTGTCCTGGTCCTATTAGACCTCTTAGTGGCTTTTGATACCATCGACCATGGTATGCTGCGACGATTGGAGGGGTTGGGAGTGGGGGGTACCGTTTTGCGGTGGTTCTCCTCCTTCCTCTCCGACCGTATGCAATTTGTGTTGGCAGGGGGACAGAGGTCGACCTCGAGGTGCCTTGTTTGTGGGGTGCCGCAAGGGTCAGTCCTCTCGCTCCTTCTGTTCAACATTTATGTGAAGCCGCTGGGTGAGATCATCCGTGGTTTCGGGGTGAAGTTCCACCAGTACGCTGACGACACCCAGCTGTACATCTCCACCCCGGACCATCCCAATGATGCCCTTGACGTGATGTCCCGGTGCCTGGAGGCCATGCGGATCTGGATGGGGAGAAACAAGCTCAGACTCAACCCTTCCAAGACCGAGTGGCTGTGGCTCCCAGCGTCCCGGTATAGTCACCTGGTTCCATTGCTGACTATTGGGGGCGAGATCTTGGCCCCCTCAGAGAGGGCTCGCAACTTGGGTATTCTCCTGGATGCACGGCTGACTTTGGAAGATCATATGACGGCCGTGGCCAGGGGAGCTTTTTATCAGATTCGCCTGATACACCAGTTGTGTCCCTTTCTGGACCGGGATGCCCTGCGCACGGTCACTCATGCCCTCGTCATGTCCTGTTTGGACTACTGTAATGCTCTCTACATGGGGCTCCCCTTGAAGAGCACTCGGAGGCCCCAACTGGTCCAGAATGCGGCTGCGTGGGTGATTATGGGGGCGACATGGCGCACCCATGTAACGCCTCTCCTGCGCGAGCTGCACTGGCTCCCGGTGGTCTTCCGGGTGCGATTCAAGGTGTTGGTTACCACCTTTAAAGTGCTCCATGGCTTAGGATCGGGGTATATACGAGATCACCTTCTGCCGCTGATAGCCTCTCACTGGCCAATACGCTCCCACAGAGGGGGGCTCCTCAGGGTGCCGTCGGCCAAACAATGTCAACTGGCGACACCCGGGGGAGAGCCTTCTCTGTGGGGGCACCAGCCCTCTGGAATGAGCTGCCCCTAGAGGTTCATATGATCCCCAACCTGCATACCTTTTGCCGCGCCCTGAAAACTCTTTTATTCCAACAAGCCGGGCTGGCCTAATAGGAATTTTTAAATTGGGTGTTTGTTAGTTTTTAATTTTGTGGGCCAAATTTTATATATTTGTTTTTTAAATTGTTCTTAAATTTTGTGGTTTATATGTATAGAATGTTTATATGTATAGGTATAGAAGTTCAATAAAATCTAAATCTAAATCTAGAGTAAAAATAAGGAATAGCGGTTGAGATGTTACTTTTCAGCACTGGCTCCTGAATACTGTATTAATACAAAGAGGAATAATGATTGTAGTCTAAACATGCAGATCTACATTTAGATAAAATGTCCTAAAGCTGAGAAATGTTGTTGACAGGAGGCAGAATTCTCTCTCAGTCTTCAATAACCAATATAGAGGCCAGTGGAGAGGGAAAGTGTGCTACTATTTACAGATAACCAGTCTGTCCTCTACATCAAAGACATGTATTAAGATATTATGAGCTATTATAATTATTGAAGTTACAGAACTGTAGGTGACATTCAAATTAACTCTCCTGTCTAGTTGGTAATGATAAGATAATTGTTTCAAGTCAAGCCAAAGTTTCGGTAGATCTTTACATAGAAAGCCATGGACAAACCAGTTGTTCTGATAGAATATGAAGATGAAGAGGCCAATTTATTTTACTGGCAATACTTAACTAACAAGAAGTTTGAATGAAATGAGAGTGCTTGCCTTGGCTTAGTCCATAATAGCAAAGACAAATCTTAATAGTGTGAAAAGGAAGCAATTTACTTGATGTTAATAGGAAATATTTCTGCAGATACCTATAACCCAGAACTATAGAGAACTCTACAACCTTAAATATCTTATCTCAGATCAGTATATCAAAATGCATATCTGCTCAACATCAAAAGCATATGACAGAGTGATCATGCAAGACATTTGTGATGCAGTGACATTGTGGAGAACAAAAATAAACTGAGTCAAAATCAGGAATTCTTTCTCAGATAGATGTTTTGTTTCATTACGTACAGGGATTATTGCCTGCTTTTTTACAAGAATTCCTATAGGTGTCTGAAACTATCTTTGTCGCAATAATGAAAATCATAGTTTGAATTGATACATTCTGAGTTGTTGACACAGTTATCTCTTTGGAATAAGAGCTACAGGTTCATACTAACCTATCTCCCTATTTCTCCCCAACCCCCCTTCCCCAAAATGTAGACAGGTTCTTTCAATCTTTCAGAAGTTACAACCATTTTTCCCCACCAAAAGATTTAAAAACCAGCTATCCATTTTGATGGAATTTGGATTAGAATAAAAATCTGATTAGTAAATCACATAACAACTTGAAATAATTCAAGTTTCTTACAAATGTATCAAAATAAGCAAGATTGGGTAAATCTCAAGTACAGATTTGGCAGTGAGGACTGTGTTTGTTTGGTTTTTCTCTCTTCAAGTACTGGAAAATTGATAGTGTTAGGTCACAAAAAACATACTATAATTTAGAGTGTTTCACTTAATGGGGTGGAAATTATTTTTTTCCAATTTTTTTCAGTGAGGAGTTCTAAAATACATGTTTTTATACCAAGATTTCAAATCTGCTTTTATTTTTGCAATTGTACAATGTTTAGCTTGGTATGGTAAATCCATGCCTGATTATATACTCCACAAAAGACTCCTGTAACCCAAATACTGTTAACTTTCATCTTCTCAAAATTACACCTTGTGCTACAAAAATTCAAAGTTTTTTTCTGCATGAAACTTATCTAGCTAAGTAAAAAATAAAGCATGCAATCATAAACTAACATAAATAAGCAATTATCTGAGTTACAAAAATGTTTAAGTGAGTTTCATCAAGCCTTGCTTTGATTTGTACTTGTGTTTCTCATGTGTATACACTCTGCTTGCTGCCTCTGGGACCTGTTTCAGACATCTCTCTATTGATTGGGCATGACAGGGCCATTGTGGTACTTGCATTGGTTCATCAATGAACTTCTTTATTGCTGCTACAGTCAGTTTGCACATCAAAGGTGGCTCATATACACCTTTAGACCAGTCAATCAGCTCCATCAAAGTAGATACTCTGGTGTTGATTAAAGGCGTTTTTCTTGCACATACAGCAAAATCTCCCAGCGCATCATTATCTTCAATAAAAGCTCTGTCTAGCATAGTATGAAGAAGAAAAATAACAGCTCAAAAAAACCCAGCATGGCTGCATAAAGAACTCTCTGACAAATTGAAACACAAAAACGCCAAGTATAAAAAGTGGAAAGGGGCAGAATATCAGCAAATATTCCACGCCTGCAAAGATGAAGTGAGGAAAGTTAAGGCTCACAATGAACAAAGACTTGCAACAAAAGTAAAAAATAACCAAAAAAAGCTTCTTCCAACATGTTAAAAACAAGAAAAAAGTCAAGGAAACAATTGGTCCATTGCTGGGAGAAAGTGACAAGAAGGTGACAAGCAACAGGGAGAAAGCAGAACTACTTAACTTGTTTTTTGCATTTGTCTTTACACAAAGGGAAAAAACAGTCCAACCTACCAAAAATAGCACCACAAAAACAGACAAGTTAAAATAGGGAAGAAAATGGTAAGTGAGCACTTGTCTACCCTAGAAAAGTTCAAATCACCAGGACCAGATGGATTACACCCTAAGATTCTGAAGGAATTGGGAGACGAGATTTCAGAACCACTGAACTATATCTTTCAAAGATCCTGGAGCCCCGAGGAACTGCCAGAGGACTGAAAAGAGCTGATGTAGTTCCCATTTTCAAAAAAGGAAAAAACAAATAGATCCAGGAAACTACAGACCTATCAGCCTGACCTCAATACCAGGGAAGATTCTGGAAAAGATACTCAAGCAACAAATCAGCAAACACCTAGAAGCAAACAAAGTAATAACCAAAAGCCAACATGGATTTGTCAAAAACAGATCATGCCAAGACTAATCTTAATGCATTCTTTGACAAAGTGTCAGAATTAGTGGACCAGAGGAATGCTGTCGATATAATTTACTTGGACTTCAGTAAGGGATTTGATAAATTTAAATTTAAATTTGTGAACCGGCCAAATACTCTGTTCAAAGAAAATACATGGTATGTTTGTGTGTGTTTCTAATTATTGCTATTTATTCCTATTTGTTCTCTTTTATTCTTTAAAGTTTAACAATTCATTCTTTATCTTATATCTTTAGGGCTTTCTTCCCTTTCATCTTTTTTATTGTACAACAATCTTTCTCCTCAAACCTACCACCTCTGTCTTTTCTTTCCTTCTTACTTTCTCTTCCCCCCCTCTTCTTCTCCTCCCTACTTCCACTTTCTTTCTCCTTCTCCTCCTCTCTTCCTCCCTCTCTTACCCTCACTCCTACTCTAATTTCCCTTCCCTTCCTTCATCCCTCTCTATTGCTGTATCCTTTTATGCCTATGGACTACTCAGAGGACTGTAAAAGTTATTTTTGACTGGTCCTCGCACTTTTGACCAGTCCTCGAACTTACGACTGTCCTCACAATTTACTTTTTTGCCCTATCTTGTCACCATGGTGAAGAGAAGCAGTTGTGAAATGAGTGACACGGTTGTTAAGAATGCTAGAATGGGCATAAATGATGACCAGTCATAAGTGCGAAGACTGGTCAAAAGTGCGAGGACCTGTCAGAAATCACTTTTTTCAGCCCTCTGGGTAGTCCTTTTGTGCACAGGGACTACTCAGAGGGCTGAAAAAGTTATTTTTGACTGGTCCTCGCACTTTTGACCAGTCCTCGAATTTACGACTGTCCTCACATTTTACGTTTTTTGCCCTATCTTATACCATGTTGAAGAGAAGTAGTTGTGAAATGAGCGACATGGTTGTTAAGAATGCTGCACAGGCATAAATGTGAGGATGGTCATAAGTGTGAGGACCAGTCAAAAGTCCGAGGACCTGTCAGAAATGACTTTTTTCAGCCCTCTGAGTAGTCCCTATACACATAGCCATGGCCACCTGGTCACATGACTTCCAAGCCACGCCCACAAAACAAGCCACGCCCACAGAACCGGTAGTAAAAAAATTTAGAACGCACCCCTGGTTGGGGGTCACCACAACATGAGGAACTGTATTAAAGGGTCGCGGCATTAGGAAGGTTGAGAACCACTGGTATAGTCCTTAATGGAACTGCATCTACATGGAGGGAAGTATGCAGTGGGGTACCCCAAGACTCTGTTTTAGGCCCAGTACTCTTCAACATCTTCATCAGTGATTTGGACGAAGAGATAGATGGGGAACTCATCAAATTTGCAAATGACACCAAGCTAGCAGGAATAGGCAACACTCCAGAAGATAGGCTAGGAAGATAAGATACAGAAGGATCTTGACAGACTTGGGTGCTATCTAACAAAATGAAATTCAATGGTGAAAAAAGTAATGTTCTACATTTAAGCAAGAAAAACAAAATACACAGATATAGTATATGTGGTACCTTGCTCAATAGTAGTATCTGTGAGAGGGATCTTGGAGTCCTAGTGGACAATCATTTAAATATGAGCCAGCTGCCAAAAAAAGCCAACACAGTTCTAGGCTGCATAAACAGAGGGATAGAATCAAGGTCACGTGAAGTGTTAATACCATTTTATAATACCTTGGGAAAGCCACACTTGGAATACTGCATCTAGTTTTGGTCACCACAATGTAAGAAGGATGTTGAGACGCTAGAAAGAGTGCAGAGAAGAGTAGCAAAGATGATTAGAGGACTGGAGGCTAAGACATACAAAGAACAATTGCTGGTACTGGGTATGTCTAGTCTGATGAAAAGAAGGACTAGGGGTGATATGATAGCAGTGTTCCAATATCTCAGGGGCTGCCACAAAGAAGGAGTTAAGCTATTCTCCAAAGCACCTGAGGGTAGGACATGAAGCAATGGTTGGAAACTAATCAAGGAGGGAAGCAACTTAGAACTAAAGAAATTTCCTGACAATTAGAACAATTAATCAGTGGAACAACTTGCTTCCAGAAGTTGTAAATGCTCCAACACTGGAAGTTTTTAAGAAGAGATTGGATACCCATTTGTCTGAGGTGGTGTAGGGTTTCCTACCTAAGCAGGGGGTTGACTAGAAGACCTCCAAGGTACCTTCCAACTCTGTTGTTCTGTTCTGTTCTGTTCTGTTCTGTTCTGTTCTATTCTATTCTATTCTATTCTATTCTATTCTATTCTATTCTATTCTCCTCAAGTCAATGATCATTTGCACACCAGCTTTCCTCTTGAATGGCATCTGAACACAAGAGTGGATTATCATTTCACTGAAAGCATACCATACTGAGCGTTGCATGGTTGGCAAAACAGCATCTACTACAGCCTTCTTTGCAGTCTGACTTGCGGCAGCTGGAACAATACATGACGTCGGCCTTCAATCCAGGAATGTTTTACTTTGATGTTGAATCAGCAAGGGTAGTACACACCAATTATGTATACCACTATCATTCTTAACTTTTGGAGAGTTTGGCCTTTAAAGCCATGTTTTGAAGCCCATATTCGACAAAGCCTATTTGCAGTTGTCAATCTGCATGAATGGCTTACGGGACCAAGCCAAACTTCCCAGATCTGTGGGAAGTTCTCCTGTCCATATTGCCTGTGTGATCCTATATCCATACACTTGATCAGTAGAGAGATCCTTTACAACACTGTCGCTCAGTGAAATGAGAGGCTCACCAATTGAAACTCTGGTGAATGAAGGAACAATGTCAAGTTCCGTTGTGGTGTATAGCATGTTGCCAATTTTACCTGCCCATTTGTTGTTAGACAAGGTCTTCCCATCCAATTTTGTGATTAAGTGTCATAGAGGTAACTTATTCGTGTGGAATGGACACACCAACCAGATAACCTCCGGTCAAGCTTCCTGTTTTGAGCCATTCTCTGGAATGAAATAATAAAGATATCTTCCACCCAGCTCACTGCGCACAGATTAATGTTCTTCTTTGATGGTACTGGGGAATTGGTGGTTGAATTGTTTGCTTTCAGCATAACTTTAGTTGCATCAATATGGCCATCAAAGAAGATGCATTCTATTTCGCTCTTCATACAGAGATCATCAAATTCTTGATCTAGAGACTTCATAATTTTTTCCTGGGCTCTCTTGACTGTATTGTGGTCAACTACAAGTCTCTTGTCTTCTTTGGTGATTAAGCCAGCATCTATGAATGCAGCAGTGGCACGTAGATCAACACCATATTAAATAATTAATGCTCTGCATAGCATCATTTGTTATTTCTAATCTACTGTTTTTTGAAGTTGAGGACATGTGTGTTTGGTCTAAGGCTTCATAACTTCCATCACATTCATCTTCCTCATCATTCATCTGTCTGTCCTTCATTTTCATCATAAGAGATAATTATTTCATTTGTCAGTATCGGAATGTCTGGAATACTTCTCTGCTTATATTTAATGAGCCTCTGTCTCTCATCACCTTGCTGCTTTTGCCTTTTCACTGGTCGTTTCTCCTTGGGACATCTGGCAACCAATCTGATGCAATCCAAAAGAACCAATCTGGCCTCTCTTTAACAAAAACAAGTTCCTTCAATGGTATCTTCATCTCCTTAGGGCAGATACAGTTAACGTGAGCTTCTTTTTTGCAGCCAGCAGGGCAGGGCAGCCGAATTTGGCACACAGAACAATTTGACATTTACAGTTGAGAATGTTAAACAGTTTGTCAAGTTTCACAGTGAAAGTCTCTTTGACCTCTAGCTTTCCTCTGCCAAGAGATATGTTTTTGGTTTGATCCTAGCTCTCTTGGATCTTGTTCAAGATTGTCACTCATGAATTAACAACAGGGGTCACAAAAGAATTGTTCACTTGTTCCCACTTTTCAAGCACTTTTGGATATATGTCTCTTGCAAGACTGGCTGCTGGGTAGTTTGTAGCATCATCACTAGTTTGTTTTCTTAATAGCAGGCCATATCTGTTGTGGCTCCGATCACCGAGCCTGTGTTATCAGCAGGAGAGGACTCCGAGAGTGAAGGAGAGGAGTTGGCAAGGCCTCCCTCTCCAGGACCATCCTCTCTGGCAATGCCTCCGGTGTCCTCCGAAGGCCAAGAGATAGGCCCGGGGCCAAGCACTTCCACGCAGCCGCAGGTGGACAGTAATGATGATGATGATGAGTCTTGGCTGGACCCTCGACAGCGTCACAGAGATAAGCGCGCGCAGCAGAGGAAGAGGCGTGCTAGGGATTAGGCTGAGTCACTGGACCACACCCCACAGGGTATAAAAGGGAGTGTGGTGGCCGTTCAAGCTCTGTGACCAGCAAAAACATATTGAATAAACCTCTCTGCATTGCTGGACTTTTTGAATATTCTTTTATCTTTTGTGTGTTGGCTTTGAAAAAACATTCCTTTCGTAAGTAAAAGACACTTGGCAGCCAGCCACTGGGTTGCTGCCAATTCTGCTCTTAGAGAAAACTTTGTCGGCTGGTTTATTTCATTATTGACTGTCTGTGGATGTGCGTGTGTGAGACGGGGACAGAACAATATCTGAGAATGTCTCACAGTGTTGGGAGTTCAGATGGCAACAAGTCTCTGTCCGTCCCCATTAGGTTGCTCATATGAGTGAATGTTCCCAGTCTTGTTCTTTTTTTAGAAGCCAATACAGATCAGTTATCACACTCAAGGGAAACGAGGTCAGCAATATTAACGCTCTCAGGCAAAATAATATTTAATAAAAAGAGAAAGACGGCTAAACCTGTGAAATTAAACCAAAAAATGTTTAAAAGTTATATTTATGTAGTTATTTACCAAGCACATCTAAATTATATTAAAGTAACCTAAAATCTTTACCAGACATGTCATAACTTTTGAGCATCCCTAATGTTTGGAAATTGAAAGTTGAAAAATTTGACATGCCCTAAATATGGCCATAGTTTTTTCATAGGAGCAGAAATTTGATGAAGACACCTATCTGGGCTTGATTCTAAATTTATTTTAAACTAACAGTCACTAATATGTGAGATATTTCCATTTCTTTACTGCCCTGATGAATATAATTTGTTGGTATATGTCAGTGGTGTCAAACTCAAGGCCCGGCTGGCAGGATACGTAGATCTGGCCTGTGAGGCCGCCCTGGAAACAGTGAAGGATCAGCCCGTGGTCCTTCTGCCAGCAAAAACGGAACTTGGGAGGGCTTCATGCGGCCCTCCCGAGCTCTGTTTCCGCTGGTAGAGGGTTGCAGGAGGCCATCACAGCCAAAAATGAAGCTCGGGAGCCTGTTTTCGCTGGCAGAGCACTTGGGCCATCATAGGCTCCCCCAACATGAGTGATGTCGAGCTGGCCATGCCCACCCTGGCCACAGCCACCCCGGCCGCCCAAAGTCAAACAACCCTGATGCAGCCCTCGATGAAATTGAGTTTGACACCCCTGGTATACATGAATACATTTTAACAGCTGCAATATGTTATTGCAAGTTAGTTAGTTTGTTCTGGAGGGAGTGAAATGCCATTTGTTATTTGTTATTAGCAATCACTGTTGTGATTTAATTTTAGGGCTGTAGATGAATCATATAGGTCCATCTCTGTAGTTACTACTTTAATGTAGAGCTGTAAATCAAACTAATTGTATTATTCACTTGTTAGGTTCAATTTCTGTCCAGTTTGTCCTGTTTGTTTGGTTCTTTACTGGCTAACAATAGCTGGCTAATACAACAGCATGCCATAGAATCATTCACTCAATTTGCAGAGGTAAGTCCAATTGTGTTTTTCAAGTTTTAGATAGTCCAAGTTAAGTTGTTTCAGATTGTTGCAAGTAACTAACTCATGATGAAGTCCATTTTTGAAGCAGAACCTGTCCTTTAGAGGATTGATCTGTAATGGAATTTGGAGAAATTAGAAGCAACAGAAACATTTGCCTTGCCCAAAGTACAAATTCAAAATTTCTGCATCTACCACAGTTTTGGGAAAAGGTAGAATCATATTTCATAACCAGAAGTTTGGAGAAAGTGAGGAAACCATAGAGGAAAGCTGGATTTTTGCCTTTGCCTTACAAATTTTATTTAAACAATAAGTAGTCTTCTTTTTTCTACAATCCTTTTTTGCATGACAGAATATAGGGAGGGGAACAGCAGGCTGATTATTAGCAATATAATTGTTAGGAAGATTTAACTTTAGCGAGATCAACATCCTTGAATTGCTTATCATACTCATGACTGAGTTTTATTATAGCAGATCATATTTGCTTAGTAAGTCATGGTTCTGGAGAAATGGAAATCTTAAACTATGAGCTGTTGAGGACAAGAAAATATGTGAAGAAGTTGTATAGTGTTTCTATTTCTTTTGAAATATTCTGGTTGTAATGTTTATTGTTTTCATAAGATAATTAGTTTCAATATGGAAAAAATAAGGGAATATGAACAGAGCAGAATCACTTTTAGTATTAAATTTACTGCAACCTAAGTTTCTCTAGTGCTGAATACATTCAGTATTTAGTAGATATTCTTTGATGCTGCTTGATTGTTACACCTAATAAACCAACTAGTTATCTAAACTTTCCTTACTTTCTTGTTTTGTTTTTGTATTAAGGGAACAAGCCATGAACCAATACTTCAGAAATGTTTGAACTCTGTTGAAATCAAAACCAAAGTTGTTGACTTTCTCTCCAAGGTATACAAGAAAATATAAAAGTGACTGCAATCCTAGTGTCAAACCTACTTTTAAACTCAAGTTTCATTAATAAGTGTGCATACTATATCATTTTAAAACACACTGTTCTTGCAGAACAGATAAGAATTTATATGGGCCTTGAAACATAATCTAGAACATGGGTGTCAAACTCGATTGTGTCATGTGACTTCACTTGATGTATCATGACTTTTTGCGGAACCGGGGTGGGCGTGGCCTGTGCATGATGCATCCGGTCTGTGGGCCACCAGTTTGACATCCCTGATCTAGAACTTTGGCTAGAGAAGTCACAAGGCCCAATGCATTGCAGAATCCTGCTGAGTGAGATCACAAGATTTCTGATTTGTTTTCCTATATAGTACACATTTCAGTACCCAAAGCAATGGTTCCTTTACAGCCTGTGTATAGCTATCCACATTTATTTTAAATATTTATATTGTACAAGTAATCCTTATTTAGTGACCACAATTGGCACCAACACCCCAGTTGTTAAGTGATGTGGTTGTTAAGTGGAAAATCTTATGATTGTGCTTTCAAATTTACTTTGGCTTTCCTTTTTCCCTACTCTATTCTTTGGAATGCTCACTCAGCGGATAATTATCAAGAATAGAATTAATTTTTTTATTTACATTCATTGGAAAGGGAAGGATTACAAGAGAGTAAGCAGGCACACAATGGAGGCTACACATTGAAAGCAGTTCCCTGGCTGTTTGTCTAATGCACTTATGACTCTGTCCTGAGCTGCTTGGGAGGCAAACAAAAGCTGAAAGTGGGAAAATGATTAAAGTCCTGTCAGTTACAGGCAGCAGTCTGCTAATTAAGGTCACAGAAATAAACTTGTTTAACTTGCCATTATTACCTTTTGGGGAAGCGCTGCAGAGAAACCTCAGGAACACATCATTTGTTTAAATAATCTCACTGGAGGGAGGGGGAGTAAAGAGTCATGCATACTAACTGGCTGTAATGGTGAACGTGACTGACAGAGATGCTGCAATGGTCGTGAATGCAGGCATTGATCACAGAATTACTTTTTCATCTCTGTTGTAACCTTGAATGGTCACTGCCTGAGGCAGTCACTAACTGAGGTCTATCTGTACTTTTCTAACTGAAGACAACTTGGAAAAAATAACAGATATGGAGATTCTCAGTCATCCAGGTCACAGTTGTCCCAAAAGTATTTTTTTTCAAGAGCAACTGGACTTTCTGGTTTTTCTTTGAAGACATTTTGCTTCTCATCCAAGAAGCTTCTTATTCTTCTCCACCTGAGTGTCTGCTTAATTTTATTCCTCCTTGCCCCACTTGTAGGAGTAAACTAAGGTAACTTATATATGAACTATTAACAGTCATTAATTATTGATACTGGTTATTTTTGTTATTCTTTCACAGAGCAATCATATTGAGGAGACACCAAAAGCAAAAGCAGATCGAATGAAAGAAGAAAATGCTCTTTTTATGCACTTCTTCCTGGAGGCCAGAGCTGATGGGCAAAGAGCTCTTATTGAAGAGGTATTCTGTAGTCTTTTCAATGAGAAAGTCTAACTTCAGAATGACAAGGGTTATCACAGTGTTATTTTTATATTGGAAAATTTAGGGTTAATTGAGGGTACTCACAGATACTTTGACATTAACAACCATTTATATGATCTTAGTTTTTTCATTCATGGGAATTAACTCCAATTAAAATTTACATATCTAAGATGTATATACAGAGGGAATCACATTTACTAAAGTGATTGCTAGCAAGAAATCTTACTTGCAAGAAAAAAGAAAATGCACCCTCTAGTCATCTATTTAACATTGTTCTTATTCAAATGTTGATGTCTAATCTTATATTAGATGATCAGTGCCTTGAAATTACATTCCAAATCTTCCGAAACTGCAAGTTACTTTAGATCATTTTAAAGGGGGAAGTCTGTTCATCTCTTCCTAATATTCTCTGTATAATGGAGGTAGTCCTTGATTTAGGACCACAATTAAGCCCAACATTTATGTTGCTAAGCAAGTAAATTGAGTTTTGCCCCATTTTAGGACTTTGCCACAGACAGTTGTTAAATGAATGGCTTCCCCATTGATTTTGCTTATCAGAAGATATCAAAAAGTGATCACATGATCTTTGGACACTAGCTAACATAAATTTGAGTCAGTTGCCAAATATTTGGATTATGATTATTTTTCATGTGTGAAAAATGATCCTAAGTCATTTTCTCAGGGCTGTTGTAACTTCAAACAGTCACCAAATGAACTGTTGTAAGTCAAGGAATACCTGTGGAAAGGACTACAGAATTTTCATAATACTGCTTTAGTGCTTGTATTTAGAGGAGTCATTTTAAGTAGGGAAGGTAAGTCTGAAGTCTATTGTATATGTTTTATAAATATAAAATTTTCTATATTTATACAACAATCTTACCTCCAAAACTGAGTTTGTGACGATTGGACTAGAACTGCTGCTTCTATAGACCTCTACTATTATATAGTTTTATTAATTTTTTTTTCCAAACTGCTGCATAAATAGCCAGTAATAACAGAACAGCTTCAGGAGTATGTAACTGAAAAGATGCTACTTATTTGCATATGAAGAAGCTTCCCTCAGCATTACAATATATTCTTTTTTGTTGTCAAGGAGGATTAATTTCAGACATAAATACCCATATATTTAAAACAGAGCCACTTTGAGCCTTCTAATAAGAAACAAAAGGAATATAGGACTTGAAAATCAGAGAGTATCATGGGAAGTTGTTGGATTTTATTGCATTGACCGGGTTCATTATATTCCCTTGCTTAAAATCCTTGTGTTACAGAACTGCTTTCTGTTTTTTAATTGTAGCCGTCCCCCAAGAGAATTTGCTATTCACCCACTGAGGTGCAGTACAAGTCAGCAGTTGACAATGCTGAAAGGGCACTGGAGACCATGAAGCAATTGTTACAGAAAGGCCCACCTCCCACTTGGTTTGCAAAGAAACTGGAAGCATTACAGGCGACGTTGCACAGCTTAAAGAATAGTATACATTGATCTGACTGGATCTGGATGATTTTAGTATCGTACTGTAAACTGTAGTTCCACATTTAGGGCTTGAACACAAAACAGGCAGAACTAGTAGTAATTCTGAATCTAGAAAGCTGTATGTTAATTTTATGTTTATAATTTGTTACAGCTTTCTGGTTGAAAAATATTGCAACTGAGTGAAAATAATGATTTTAAAAATTGCATGTGTGTTAATTTATGCCCTTTCTTTAGTTTGTTTATATTATCTTTACTACCAAAACGTAAGAATTACAAATATACTCAACAATCCCCTTCAGGACATTTTACCTGGGAAATAAACTGTCTAGTATAAGAATTTAAGATTTGCTGCTATCCTGTGGTTTTTCTCTCCTGTTTAATTTAATCTCCTAATTTAATCTCAGTTACTCTACAATTACCCTTGTAAAACAATTGTAGGATTCTCTTGTAGGATCAATAGAAATGTTTTGAAGCCAGTTTACTCATACAAATAAGTTCCACAAGAAACTAGTGATTTATCCATTTATTTTTCCTAGAATTCTTCACAAATAAAACAGTTGTGGAAATATAAAGCCACATATCTGTAACATCCCGCTTTGTCCAATTGTTAGCAACCAAGGCAGGGAAATCCCTGCTATAGTTTTGGCCTAAAAGTTTAACTCAGAAAGGCAAGCACTGATATGCCAATACCAAGTTCTCATTGCTTGTGCAAGTGGAGAATGAGGAGAGGACTTAGAATGTCCAGGGTACTGTGAAAGAAGTTACTGAACTGTAACCGATAGAAGATCTTCATCATCACCAGTTAGTATCTTCTTCCCAATTCAGGTCATCATCTTCTTCCCAGCCAACACCATCCACCTGAAATAATGATCAAATCATGAAGACAGTCAGTGACATTATTGAACTCTGTGTACCACTGCTATTTATTAGCAGTTAGCGAGAAAGTGTATTTTTTCCCACAGGGTATCATTTTTATTTCCCAGGAATAGCAATAAGTATATCAATCACAACCATCTTGGGGGTCCTGATTTTCCTGAATCTAACACAAATGTATACTGATCAAAACAATTTCTTCTTACAACACTACTAAGAACCTGTGTGGCCTTCCTATATTACAAAGTGAAACATGGATGCCACATCCAACTCAGACACAGACACCTTCATGTTGAAGTTAGTTCACAAAATAATTACATGATATAACAATATTGTGCCTTTTCTCTAACACTATTATAGAACTATTTTAGATTTGAATTTTTTTCTCCATTATGAGATGGTAGCTAAGACATGTTTTCTTTAAGCAATCACCTGTTCAAAAAAGACATGTAGTACTCTCTTTGCCAGTGCAACTACTGAAAACAGAACCCAAGAATTAATGTAGTACAAAACAGCAAGTTCTGATGATGTGCCTCCTGACAATGTACAGATGTGGATCACAAATATTTGGGTGCAGAGGGTGGTAAAAAAATGGAAAATAGCTGGTGGTTGGCATAGCAATTAAAGGAATATAAGGAGAAGGAAGGTACACTACAGTACTGGGAAGGTGGTTCAATAGATGTACTGCACTTGAATTAAAATATGTGGCTAATGCAAGGAAAGTGCCTGAGAGAGGAGGGTCGGTGACTTGGCACAAAAGCCACACAGGAGAATATGGGAGAAAGGGAAAAGCACACAAGACTTTCCCTATTCGTCCACCAAGCCCCCTCAGAAATAGGTCTCATCTGAAAATGAAATCAACCAAGTTATTCCAAGTTTCAATTCAATCAGATCGTGAACTGTCCTAACAGTTCAGTTGAATCAGTGTTGTGTGAGCATATCTATTAAGAACGTAGCTGACAAAATGTCTGCCATATCACTCATGTAATCAACCTGATACAATAACCTGTCGCCAACTAATACACAGGAGTTTTATAAAGTACTAGAGCTTCTGTTCCTCAAATTCTTACCTCTGCAATTTCTGATGCTGCAAATTTAGAAGAAAACTGCATTTCTTGTCCATCGCTCATAGAGTTCAAAACTCTCTCTGAGTTACTCTGAATAAATGAATGGGTCTCTAGTTCTGGTAGAACTAAGAGCGATGATGAAGATTTGATATCTGGGACCATGTCTGCAAACCAGTCCAGCTCTGTGTCATGCAATTCTTTCCTCTTCACCTGGATCACAAACTCTTCTCCTAAACCACTTTTCAACTTGGGAGATTTCTCTAGAAATGATGTTTTGGTCAAATAAGACTTTTGATCCTGGTCTCTTGGGTCACAGCCATCGCTGTTGCTGATAGACTCTGGCAAGGGATTATTTTGGAGAGTTCTGAGTTCTTTTGTGGGTGCAAATGTATTTGGAGGCAGCTGCAGCTCTGCGATGTGATTTATCCCTCTATCATAGTGAGTGTTTCCTGAAGAGAGCTTAAAGGGAGATTTCTCTTCTCCATCATGATTGGCAAGACGTGGATGGCTGTTAACACAAAAGTCTTTCAGTTTGGTATCAGCAATTTTATTTTTTTCTGGCTTGAGCTCTTCGTACTCATTCCAGTCTGGCCATTCTTCTGTCTTCTCAGTCACATGGTGGCAGTTTTTGCCATTATTTATTGTACTTATTCCACTAGGAATATTATATAAGTTTAAAGAGTCTTGCTTCCCTAGAGAACATACATAAGCTTTGATCAGTGATTTAATGAAACTAAATGAAGTCTTACACACACACACATTCTTTTGTACTTAAACATACAGGCATATTACTTTCATTTTCAGACTTAACTATAATATAAGGTAAGAAAGCTGAATAACAGCTGCCTAGCCTAGAATTCTCTCAATTGCTATATTTCACTTTACATTCAAAAGAAACAGTATCTTATCATAGCTTTCCCAATATATTACCCAAATGTATAGATTTGGATTTTGTCTTAGATTGGCAGATATAATACTTTTTAGAAAGAAAGGCAAAAATAAGTAGGACCAAGGCTACCTTTTCTTAGGGCAATGTGAGAACCTTCCCCTGGTACATTGTTCTTGTTGCTGAAGGACAAACTTCCAGAATTGTGGCACTTGAGAAACATACTTGAATTATGCTGTAGTGGTAGGTAGATTAGTTTACCCTCACAGCTCATTACATCATCAGAAGAGTCTGTTAAGATATTTATATATAAGGATATACTAGAAAAAAGCAGCAATCCAGTAATATCAAAACATTTAAAACATATTTAATACTTTTTAGAATATTGTTTATTTAGTTTCATTAATAAAAGCATTAATTATTTGCTCTTATAAGATGGATAAAGAGTTATAAAAACTGCAAGCAAAGGATTAATCAGAGATGGGGAATCTGATCTGTATGGCCAATTTGGACTTCTAAGACAACCCATCTGAACAGGAATCCTCACCCCCAGCAGTATGAGCCTTTACTTTCCCCTCATCACCCTAACACAGATAAACTGACAAAACAAACAGAGCCTTTAGCCCTACTCCTGACATTGCTCTTCCTGCAAATGAGACTTAGTTCCACAAGTCTATTGGTACAGTACACATTTAAAAGCAGGAATTCTCCTGTATGAGTTCAACCTGCCTAAACAGATCTAATGTGGAATGATGAATAAAATGTGTTAATTTGATATTTTTTAGACCTTTTGGGATATGTGATCTGACACTTTGTTTACTAGATGATGATGAGTCTCTTATGCTACTTCATATCTTCTGGAATTTCACTGTGAGTGAGAGGAAAAATAATAAGGAGCTATGTACATTGAGTTGCACAGACAATTCTTTCCCGGGAAATCTTTAATTCAAAAATTATTTTCTCTGTCCAGAAGCTGTGTACCCACATATTTCCCATTAAAAAACAAATTCAGTGAAATCCAGAAGCATGTCTGAGATCAGAAGATGGTAATGCCAATTCTTTGATGATCCAGCATGTTCAACAAACACCCAGAATAAGATAAAACAGTATTGCATCTTTATGAAAAAGAATTTGCTGTATTGATTAATGATTCCTATCTACTAGCTATACAATTATTCCAAGTTATATAACATCATTACACTTTAGCTTTGTTTAGAACTTCTTATGTAAACAGCCTTCCATATCAAGGAGAAAATTACTGCAATTTAATGGTTCAGTAACTATCCCCAAATGAATCCTAAACATGTAACTTTGTCCCTGATGCTTTCCTTTTTAAATTATAGCACAGATTGTGATTAAGTATGCAATTGGATTGCTCCAATTACAGTCTGTTCTAGTTTCATCAACAGCTTCTTTTGTTTGTAGGAGAGCTAAAATTGGCTATATTTATTTACCTTCAGAGGAAAGATCCATAATTTTAGTGAAACTTGGGGCTGAATGCTTGAAGATCTTTGTTCTGTCACCCCCCACAACCACATCAGGTCCAAGGAATGAGACTAGCACTCCTAAACTTTGCAGTGTCACAGCCACTAGAGAATCACTAGTATCTCGCAAGCCAAGTAAAACCTAGAATAAAGATATTCTGTCAAATGGAGTTGGCTTCCTACCCATCTTCAGTTAAAAAACAACAACAATGTAGGTCTGAAAAATCCCTTTAATAGCTGTACTACTTTGCGGGGGGGGGGGGGGGCAGATATTTTAAAAATGTAGTTTATTGTGAGCATTTACTACCACAACGATACTTTCAAGCTGGTTTGGCTATAATTCATCCAAATTTATCTGCTTTGTGTACATTTAGAATTGAATATTTATACAAAAGTTTTGAAATGCCAAATACTTGTTCCCACTTGTGACTGTCCAGCACAGATAAAACGAAGGGGGTGTAACTATGTAAACTAGAAAAGGTGGATAAAGCGAAAAATCAATCTAGATGGAGAGGATGACTAGAACTTCAGAATCATATTCCTAAAGAGAAATAAAAAAGACTAGTTGACTTTATCTTTGTAAATAATCTCACTGCAGAAATCAACAAACCTTAATAATTGTTATTTACTATAAAGGAAATTCCTTCCCCACCACATATACATAATTACCCATGCCTTGAGATGGTCACCTTACATTTCCCAGCACAAGCATCCACTGCTAGCCACAATGATAACATGACAAAACATGCATTGTGATACTGTGTTTCTCAGAAAATAAGACCGGGTCTTATTTTCTTTTAGACTTGAAAATAAGCACTTGGGCTTATTTTCAAGGCGGTCTTACTTTTTTTGAGGTGCAGCAGGCTAGACTCGGTGAGCTGGATGCACCATGGACACACCGTCGCCTTCATTCTGAACCTTCAGCTTTTGAAATGGAGGCTTTTTGGCGAATGGGAAGAAAATGGAGAGGAGGATTTTCCTGCCTGCCATCCATGAGCTTGAGGAATGGAGGACAGGCAGGAAAATTCCCCTCATTTCCCTCACATTCGCCAAAAAGCCTCCCACAAGCCTCCCAAAAAGAGGGAAAAAGCAAAGCAGCTGGCCGCGGAGCTGCCAGCTTTGGGGAAGCAGCCCAACAAGCAGAAGTGCTGCGCCCAGAAAGAGAAGGGCAAAAGCGGTATTTGTGTTGCCCCAATGGGCCAGTGGGCAGAAACTGCAGCTGGACGGTTGCCCCTCCCCCCGCCGCCACTCATACTGGCCACAGCCATCCCCCCCGGGCTTATTTTCAGGGTAGGGGTAATATTAGGCCCACCCCCAAAAAATTAGGGTTGGGCTTATTATTGGGGTGGGTCGTGTTTTCAGAGGAACACGGTATCATGGCACAAACTCTATACTTTCATACTTGTATCATACTAGCATACTTGTTGCATGTAAGTACTTCAGAGATAAGAGTTTGAGCTGTGAGGTTGCAATGTACATTTTGTCACTTGACCTGCTATGGTCAAAACGATGAACTGTTTTACTTGGTAAACATGGTAATCAACTGAATTGGTAGATACTATAAATAATAAGAGCAAGTGTCTGAAATGGAGGAGAAACAGCTGTTTTCAGCTATTAAGAGGTGAATAGCACCCTTGTCCTCCTCCATGTGTAAAGGATGCAATGTAGAGTCTCCTGTCCATGAAGGCACTCTGCGGGAATGAGAATGCTCAGTTTCCCTAATCCCTTTAAAGCAGTGGTTCTTAACCTTCCTAATGCCGCGACCCTTTAATACAGTTCCTCATGTGGTGGTGACCCCCAACCATAAAATTATTCCTAAAACAATTGAAAATACTTGTTTTCTGATGGTCTTAGGTGACCCCTGTGAAAGGGTCTTCAACCCCCAAAGGGGTCGCGACCCACAGGTTGAGAACCACTGCTTTAAAGTTTCCATGGCAAAGTTTCCTTTACTCACTGTCTACATAAGAGCCACTGAACTACAACATACTACAAAGCAGGGGTGAAATGCTCCTGGTTCGGACCGGATCACCCGATCCGGTAGCAATGGAGGCAGGTGGTTCGGAGAACCGGTAGCAAAAATCCCTGCCCCCCTCCATGCCCAGCTGAGCCACACAATCATCAGAGATTTTTATTTTTTTATTTTTAAAAGCATTTTTTTTACAACCTCTTCAGCAGAAAAAATGCTTTTAAAAGTAAAAAAAAAGCCTCTGATGTTCGCGCGCCTCAGCTGGGATTGTCAGAGGCTTTTAAAAGCATTTTTTCTACAACCTCTTCAGCCGAAGAGTTTGTAGAAAAAAATGCTTTTAAAAGCCTCTGACGATCCCAGCTGAGTTGCCTGATCATCAGAGCCTTTTAAAAGAAAAAAAGCCTCTGACGATCAGGCAACTCAGCTGGGATCGTCGGAGCCTTTTAAAAGGATTTTTTTACAACCTCTTTGCCAAAGAGGTTGTAGAAAAAATGGTTTTAAAAGTAAAAAAAAAAAAAGTTGGCCATGCCCACCCAGTCACATTCCCCCCCCACCAAGCCACGCCCACAGAACCAGTAGTAACAAATTTTAGATTTCACCACTGCTACAAAGTAATGCGTAAGATGACGTGTAACAGCAGCCTAGCACAAAAGTCAATAATACATAAACCAATCATGTAATTTTGGAGTTTCTTTTTTGCAAAGAGAAAGAAAAAGCAGCTTAAATATTGATCCTAATTTAAGTAGTATCAACTCACTGAGATTTATTGCAGAATAAGTACACAGAGGTTTATGCTTCCAGAACATTACTTCATTCTCCCTATGTGTTTAACTATATGGATGTATGATGTAGCCTATCTCTGCCCTTTTTGGGTACATGGCCTCTAGCCAATTTGTATATCCAGACACACAAATCTCTAGGTAGGTAGAAAACTCCCGTAAACTCAACTGAAGATATTACCTAGCCTGATAACGAAACGTTCGGAAACCAACCCACAAGCTCGGAGAACGAACCTTCACTCTCATCCTACACCTGAGCTACAGATATTTGCCACTATTGCAACACAAATGTCTGTCTGTCTATCTGTATCATCTATCTCATATGCATAAATGGGTTGGGAAAAAAGCTCCCAGAATTGATCTCAGTCAGCCCTCTCTGACAAAGCAAGGAAGCAGGGCAGTATGTACAATGTTTTTCACCTGTGGCAATATGATGTTTTTTAGCTCTTTCTGTGTAAACAGTTCTGCATAGGCATCTAGGTGAGAGAGCAATACCATCCGAACATGTTCTTCGTGCACCTCAAAGAGTTTCAGCAGCACTGGGCTGACATGTGCCTGGAACATAGCCGGAGACAGCAGACCATTGATCTGGCTTTCACTCAATTTATCTGGCATGAAGAAATTGGAAAGTTAACATGATGCCAGTTAAAACTGGCAATTCAAAGTTTTTATCACAACTATTACCACAACTATTTCATTTTACACTTAACTATTTAAAATTTAAAACTAAAAGTCTTTAAAGAGAACTGTTACCTTTTCTAACATTTGAGGCACTATGTGAAAAAACAGAAAGCTTCAGTACCTGCTTACTGAAGCCAATGGGAAGGAGGAAAGGAGTTAACTTTTATTAATCTCTAAGAACAAAAATTCCATTAGTACATTTAGACCAACCATTACCTCAGTGAAAGAGTAAGAAAATCAGGATAGAAAACATGGCAGAAGAGGTGAAAACAGCCATAACAATTTTTGTCCCCTAATGTATATGACCTGGTTAATAATTTCATCCTGTGGCACTTCTAGGGCACTCCCAACTCTCAGATTGAACACATGCTGGAGAGATAGTAGTCAATGTTTACCCTTCTTGGGCCCCAAAAGATGAGGAAGAAAACTCTTCACAGCTACTGGTTCAGCAAACACAAGCTGATTGAGCAAGAGAGGTACCAAGCGCAAAGCAATCAACTTCTCTGACAAGCCAGCCACTCTATCTAGCAGGAATCTGTATTAAGAAAGAAATTGGTCAGTACCACACAGTTTCTACATTTATATACATTTACCACTTCTCCCCAAGAGCATTTAAAAAAAAACAGGTCAAACCCTTTGCATATAAGAATAAGCTCCATAATTTCTACTGTTCTTTATCCTCAAATGTAGAAATATAGTTTTGCAGATATGAAGCTATTAATAACTTGGAAATCGAATCTGTCAAGCTTACACTTTTTTAAAATAACAGCATTTACAATAGTCCATTAAATCATACCAAAGAGACAATCAAATGTCACATAATTAAATATTTAAGTTCCTTATTATATTCCCTCCACCCTCCTCAATAACAAGACACAATATCCACTTCTTCTCTACATGAAGACACAACTATGGATTTGAAATCTCTAATTCATGATATCTGACCAGTACGAAATTCATATAGACCACCCCATTGAGGGTTCTAATTTGGTCTAGAACACTTGTAGATTACAGCTCCTTATCAATAATCATGTCATCCTGAATATCTGAAGCAATTCCAGATAGCCTTTGAGTGAACAAACTTTGGTGAACAAAAGGAGCCTTGGTGGTGCAGCAAGCTAAAGTGCTGATAAGCAGCACTTAGCTGCCAGCTGCCTGCAATTACTGTGAGTTCAAATCTCACCAGGCTCAAGGTTGACTCAGCCTTCCATCCTTCCGAGGTAGGTGAAATGAGTACCCGGATTATGGGGGCAATAAACTGACTTTGTATAAAATAGAACACCGCTTAGAGAGGGGCCAAAAGCCCTACTAAGCAGGTATATACAAAAGTATGAAGGCTATTGCTTAATGTATTGTAAGCCGCCCTGAGTCTCCGGAGAAGGGCGCATATAAATCGAACCAATAAATAAATAAACAAATTGGGTACATTAAGTTTTAATAGTCCTTTATGTAATTGGATACTGGATTTCCTTATTGATATGCCCCAGTTTATGCAAGTTGGAAGAAAAGTTTCCAACTCCATCTCCTTGAGTACACAGATAGCTAACAATCTGAATTGATCTCTCCATACATCATCCTTAGTGAAGTGTACAAACCAGCATCTGCATTTCCTGGGTCGGATGAGGAGAGCACATCTTTCTCCTTCTGTCCTGGCCACCTTTTACAGAGGCACAATTGAGAGAGCGTTTTTAACAAACTGCATCACTGTTTGGTTTGGTGGCTGCAGTGCCTCAGAGAGAAAGTCCATTCAGAGAGTGGTAAGGACAGCTGAGAAGATCATAGGAAGCTCGCTTCCTGTCATTCAGGATACTGCTTATAAGTGCTATGTGCTTAGAGCTCAAAGCATTGTTAAAGACCCCCCCACAACCACTTCACGGTTTGTTTCTGTTGCTCCCCTATGGGAGGAGGTTTCAAAGTACAGTCAGGTCCAGAAATATTGGGACATCGACACAATTCTAACATCTTTGGCTCTCTACACCACCACAATGGAGTTGGAATGAAACAAACACAATGTGCTTTAACTGCAGACTGTCAGCTTTAATTTAAGGGTATGTACATCCAACTCAGGCGAACGGTGTAGGACTTACAGCAGTTTGCATATGTGCCTCCCACTTGTTAAGGGACCAAAAGTAATGGGACAGAATAATAATCATAAATCAAACTTTCCCTTCTTAATACTTGGTTGCAAATCCTTTGCAGTCAATCACAGCCTGAAGTCTGGAATGCAGAGACATCACCAGACGTTGGGTTTCATCCCTGGTGATGCTCTGCCAGGCCTCTACTGCAACTGTCTTCAGTTCCTGCTTGTTCTTGGGGCATTTTCCCTTCAGTTTTGTCTTCAGCAAGTGAAATACATGCTCAATGGGATTCAGGTCAGGTGATTGACTTGGCCATTGCATAACATTCCACTTCTGTCCGTTCAAAACTCTTTGGTTGCTTTTACAGTATGCTTTGGGTCATTGTCCATCTGCACTGTGAAGCGCTATCCAATGAGTTCTGCAGCATTTGGCTGAATGTGAGCAGATAATATTGCCCGAAACACTTCAGAATTCATCCTGCTGCTTTTGTCAGCAGTCACATCATCAATAAATACAAGAGAACCAGTTCCATTGGCAGCCATACATGCCCACGCCATGACACTACCACCACCATGCTTCACTGATGAGGTGGTATGCTTAGGATCATGAGCAGTTCCTTTCCTTCTCCATACTCTTCTCTTCCCATCACTCTGGTACAAGTTGATCTTGGTCTCATCTGTCCATAGGATCTTGTTCCAGAACTGTGAAGGCTTTGTTAGATGTTGTTTGGCAAACTCTAATCTGGCCTTCCTGTTTTTGAGGCTCACCAATGGTTTACATCTTGTGGTGATCCCTCTGTATTCACTCTGGTGAAGTCTTCTCTTGATTGTTGACTTTAATACACTTACACCTACCTCCTGGAGAGTGTTCTTGATCTGGCCAACTGTTGTGAAGGGTGTTTTCTTCACCAGGGAAAGAATTCTTCGGTCATCCACCACACTTGTTTTCCGTGGTCTCCCGGGTCTTTTGGTGTTGCTGAGCTCACTGGTGCATTCCTTCTTTTTGAGAACGTTTCAAACAGTTGTTTTGGCCACGCCTAATGTTCTTGCTATCTCTCTGATGGGTTTGTTTTGTTTCTTCAGCCTAATGATGGCTTGCTTCACTGATAGTGACAGCTCTTCGGATCTCATCTTGAGAGTTGACAGCAACAGATTCCAAATGCAAATAGCACACTTGAAATGAACTCTGGGCCTTTTATCTGCACATTGTAATTGGGGTAATGAGGGAATATCACACACCTGGCCATGGAACAGCTGAGAAGCTAATTGTCCCATTACTTTTGGTCCCTTAACAAGTGGGAGGCACATATACAAACTGCTGTAAGTCCTACACCGTTCACCTGAGTTGGATGTACATACCCTCAAATTACAGCTGACAGTCTGCAGTTAACGCACATTGTGGTGGTGTATAGAGCCAAAGATGTTAGAATTGTGTCGATGTCCCAATATTTCTGGACCTGACTGTATTTCTAGCAGGACTATCAGATTCTGTAACAGCTTTGTTCCCTATGCTAGCCGTCTGGTAAACTTGCAAGATTTGTTTCTCTCGCCATGTACATGTATACATCCAAATTAGACTGTGTTGTTTTTCTGTGGGTATATGCATAATTTTGTATTTATTTATTTATTTTGTCATGTTTATGTAGTCTATATTAGAGGTGGAGACCCTTTGAGAGCTGTATGCAATGAAATTTCATTTTAATGTATGCCAATCAGTGTACATTCAAAGTGACAATAAAGTTATTCTAAGTCTAAGAGCATGTACTTTTGGCATTGATAGATGATGCCATTTTCTATTTCATGTACATTCCGTAGAAAATATTATTTCTCTGTAGTTGAACTGAAAGACAGCTGGGAATGTTCATACAGCTATTCTTTTAAAGATGTTCCTATATAAAGCCTTATGTGAGCCTTATTTCATTTAAAAATCAATTTAACAGTTTTAATATTTGAATTAACAGTATTAATATTTGATATTAACAGATCAAAATTCCCATAGTAAAGCAATTTTAAAGACAAAATTTATCTTTCTTTCAAATAGCCAAAAAAGCAGAGCAATTTTTTCAATGGGGAGCATTCCATAATATAGAAATAAATATTGGGAAAAACCCTTTTACATATTATTTCCAAATAGGGCTCAGTGAATAATGGTATCCCCAAAATGGCTTCTGCTATAGATCAACTAAACCACAGGAAAAATGTAAACCAAGCAATCTTATAAAAAGCAACATCCCATGCTGTTTATTAATTCTTTGAAAGGTTGAAACCAACCTTGGGAATTTGCAGATCTTTAATACTGGGCCAGTATGATCTTGAAAGAGCAATTTGGGGAAGTTATTAAGGTATCAGGCTAGAAACTGAGTGACTCAGAGTTGTAGTCCCACCATAGGCATAAAGTCAGCTGGGTGACCTTAGACCAGTCACTCTCTCTTAGCCCTGAGAAGTAAACAATGGCAAATCATTCTGAAATTTTGCCAAGAAGACTGATTCAAAGGCACAAGAAAAATAAATCTTTAAGCCAAGAATTGTTTAGCAGCCTAATTTAGCATACCTATATAATGTTCTGGACACTCTTCATAATAAACAAAACAGTTTTTATATCATTATTTTGCAATTTTTTTTTTTTTTTAATTTGATTTATATGCCGCCCTTCTCCGGAGACTCAGGGCGGCTTACAATGTGCTCAGCAATAGCCTTCATCCTTTTGTATATTTATACAAAGTCAGCTTATTGCCCCCACAAACTGGGTCCTCATTTCACCTACCTTAGAAAGGATGGAAGGCTGAGTCAACCTTGAGCCTTGGCGAGATTCGAACCCTGCAGTAATTGCAGGCAGCTGGTCTTAATAAGCTTAATAACAGGGTGCCTTAAACCCCTGTAGTACCAAGGCTCTTATATTTTTATGTTTTGAAAAATGTCACTGCTTTCAAATAACTTTAATGAAATTTTAAATCATATTTTCATTCATGTGCAAATGTTTATGAAAATGCCAATAAATAAATGCTAATTATTTTAACTATATCAAGCAACGTCATAGGTCAGTAGCAGAATACATAATTCTAATATGAAAGATTTCAAGTTATTCTTTTTCACTGGAAAGGTAAAGTACTGTAGAAAAGAATGACACATTATTAATTCATTATTAATTGATCTACTTATCAGAATACAATATAGTAATGAATTACCATCATAACTTGCTATAGAACTGCCACTTTGAACATTTCTTTTATTTTTTTTTCTAGATTTTAGAGGATGACTTAACTACTTGCACAAATGAACAAAAAAGAATTAGCTTCTTGTAATTTGATGCTGCTACCCAATTTTCAGGAGACTGTCTGAACTATACATGGTAGCATCTTTCCCAGTTTTTTTTTATTTTCAGTTTATCAAGTTATTGTAATCAAACAACCAAAAACTTCATAAAATGCCATAGAAAGTAATATACAAAAGTAAAAAAAAACAGTCCTTTATTCTTACTTGAAAAATTCTGTTTTTTCCTCCTCAGATTTCAGTGTTAAACTATTCAGAAAGCTTACCACTTCTAAGAAATCATTTCTGAAAAAAATTAAATGGCCATTATTGAGCAAAGACATACAAACAGAACAAAATAATTCAACATCGAAAATAAAAATGACTCATGTGCAAATAGAAAGATGCAGTCATGCTTCACAGTGAAATGATACCAAAACACAAACTTAAGAAATTTCTCCCAAGAACAATTCATGTTAAATTTTCAGCCTAAACAGCCTCAGGCACAACTAGTTGTTAAAAAATAAAAACAAAAAACTAACTACATCACATCAGAAACTATGTTATAAGAACTGGGTGAGTGCAGTAGAAAAACATGTAGACAACAGTATTGATCATCCTTATAACTAAAACTTATTTTGTCAATTAGTGTTGCTTATGAATTGATCACAGATTATGGAAAATACTGGAACTATTCAAATCATTGCTCATATCTTATATATCACCAACATTGAAGCAATTATAGTTGCAGTATTATTTATTTCCTAATGCAAAGAACAATAGAAATTAACTAAGAATATATATATATATATCTTTCAGTAACATACTTACCTAAAAAAATCATGAAACAGTAGGTTGGACAGTGGGGAGCGGCATGTTAGATCTGGATTTAGCAAAGTGGAGCGTAATGTATGCTGAAAGCTGGAAAGTACATCCTCTGAAACTAGAACACAAGTTTAATCAATTCTCTTTGAAACAAAGATGAAAAAGTTCTGTCAAATAAAGAGAGCGTACTGAAAAATGAAAATCATTTATTCTTTTGCACTTTAAGAAAACATTAACTCTCCAAAACAGTTTTTTTCGTTATAATGGCTATAGAAGAAAATAAAATGAGCTAAATGAAGATACACGTACTGAAATATGGCAACTAAATATAACAGAAAATTATTTCAAAGGAATGGAAGTGAAGAACAGGTTTTTCTACTTGAAAATTCTGAGAAAATAAAACTTTCATAAATGCACAGCAGAGTTTATAAATTTATTTGCTCTACATGTCAAAAGTACAGAATTATTCTGTTTGGGATTAAGATTCTAAATTTTAAAATTAAAGATAAAAAGCAACTACTCTAAAAATTGTCAATTTTTAAATCAATTCTTGATCCAATCTATACAGCAGGATATTCAAACCACTGCTGCCTTGATATATAAGACTTAGTTTTGAAAAACCCCTTCTAGGGATTCTAATACACAATCCCTGAAGTTATTCACTGCTGGCTTTAAAAAGCAGTATTTTACAACAACATTATGTGAAGTACAGGATCTTGTAAAGAAACCTACTCTGTTTAATTACTTGCTGAAAAAAATATCATGGCACAAATAATAGACATTTCAGTTCCTTTGGAGAGAAAGTCCTTCTATCATTTTACATTTTTAATAACTAAAACCAGAACTTTATTTTGTGTTCTCTAGAGCAGAATGGGATGACTCACAGTGGTCAGCTCAATGTGGATGGTGGGTATGGACGGGGGGAGGGGACAAGGCCCACACTGGGTCTGCACAGATGACTCGGTGTGGCCAAGTGGGCTCAGACCAGTGGGTGTGGCTGGGTGGATGTGACCAGGTGGAAGCAGATGAATGGGCGCAGCTGGGTCAGTGCTGGACAGCTCACATTGGCCAACTGGGCGCATACAAGTGGGTGCAATCAGGTTGGCACAGATAACTCGCTGCAGATGATTTGGAGCAGCCAAATGGGCACAGCTGGGTGGGCACAGCTGGGTGGGTGCACAGGGTAGGTGCGGCCGGGCCAGTGTGGAACAAGTTGCACCAGCCAACTGGACGTGGGGACAACTCGGCACCCCATCAGCTCTTCGCCTCCCCTGATAGCAGCCAAGCGTGGAGTTGGGTGCCATTTCATCCCACTCCAGTGCTGCAACCTCAAAGGGAAAGAAACTCATGAAGTCTCATGGAGCCTGCACAGGAGCCCAATGGTGGGTGATCCACCATCCCAAAAACAAGTTCCCCATTGCCCTCCTCCTCCTCAATCCTAACAAAAGGAAGGTTTCGGCTCATCTGGATCTCAAGAGCTATCATGTTTTATATATTCCCCCAAGGGAGACAAAGCCTCATCTTCTGCAGATCTTGCTATATATAATTGTGGAAGTGAAGAACTGAGCTTTCTCCATAATCCCCCAGTGAAGGGGCGCAGTTCTCCAAGGCCAGAAAAACTCAATTTCTGCTTCTGAGTTTCACAAGAGCTGTTGGGCTGAGGCCAAGTAGCTCCCGGACACCCCTGCCCCCAAGCTGGGTCTTCTGTTTATTTGGAAGTTGCAGGGGGATAAGAACTGTATATAAAGTATTTCCTTCTATCTATTCTGAATTGTGAGTATATTTACATTTGAGGCAATACATTCTATTTCCAAGAATTCTTACCTTCTTCATTTAAAAAAGTAAGCAGTTTTTCAACCATTACACCAAATGAGTAGGCATCTCGGGAATGCCCATGGCCTTCAGGAAGAAGCTGGAAGTCTACAGACTGGGGAATAAAAATATTATATGGAGGACACTAACCATTTCCCAAACTTTATCTTTAAATATATCATATTTCCTTAAGTTTTTAAAAATATACAGTATATACATCTTTCTAGTGAAATACAAAAAGTACCATATCAGAGATAAGTTACCAAAAGGAGGAGACTAAAATTTAAATAAAAAAGATATGCAGAGTGTATCGAAGAAACAGCATATAATCTAGGGGGAGCTGTTTGACATACAATAAGGCTATGGCACTTGGTAAGGGATACATTAACAACCAAAGAACATTTTTGGTCTTGAAATCAAGGACTTAATCAGCGAAGGAACTCTTGCAGTGGGCGAGTTGCATTAAGTAGGACAAGATAAAAAGCAAGAAAAGGCTCTACAAGAAAGGTTTAGAGAAAACCGAGCTCCTTTTTTAAAGTACAGGTTTTCAGAACCACAGGAGTTACTTCCAGGATGATAAAGAGCCTGCAGACATTATTTCACAAATAATGGCGAGAGATGATACAAAATACTCATAACAAGTAATTTCTATCATGTTCAATTAGGGGAATAAACTGAAATTACAGACGAGAGTCAGATAATAAAGCAAAACTCCAGGAAATAATTAAGTGATCAAATTTGTGAGCATCTAGAATATAATGCATTATTTTCTAGGACTAACGTATTTTTGTCAAAGATAATATTCTTGAATTCAAAATTTCTACTACCATAGGTAGGTGAATTAGTTGATACTTGATGCTTGTTCAATTAGCTGCTTATCCACCTGGCTGTAGCAGTAGAAATTTTGAAATCAAGGATATTGAATACTTGATGTATTCATTTAATCATTCATTTAAAATGACATTTTAAATAGTACATCACACAGGATTTTTGTCTTATATATTCTACCTAAAATATTATCTAGATGTGTGATAAAGGGATTTCTTATCAAACTGAGATGACATAAAAAGTAGAAAGCAAAATCAAGCAAAACAAATCAGCTAAAACAACATTAAATTTTACAGAAACGATATTGTATAACTACAAATTGTTTTTAATATTTCATAAAAATGCATGCTTCTAGCCCAACATTATATTGTCTTCAATTTGATAAGAGCTGTTTTTTTAATTAAGTTATGATATAAAATACAAAAGAAAATAGTAGGAAAGATAGGGAGGGAGAAGGGAAGGGAAAAGTATAGGAAAAAAGAAAAAGAAAGAAAAGGCATTGACTTCCCACTCCCTTTAGTGCAGTAGAAGATAATAACATGGAACCTCCACTTTTTACTTTTATGTAATAGTATAAACTAGCCATTTCTATAGCAACAAACTTATCCACTGAGTAAAACTCAAAACCAAAGTTTATTTTTTTCCACCTCAAGCACAAAGTCCAGAAGCAGTTTCCAAGTAGAAACAAAAGTAATTGTGTTTTTTTTCTTTAATCAAAGCAGTCAAGTTTATCTAGCTCTGCTAACTCCATCAACTTTTGCAGCCCTTTGTCCATTGTGGGAATCGAAGTATCCTTCCATTTTTATGCATAAAGTAATCTTGCTGCCATCAACATATATAATATCAAAGTTCCAAAAAATTTCCAAGTCTTTTTCCATTAAACCCAAAGAAAAGTTTCTGGTTTTATTTTTATATTCACTTTTAAAATCTTCTGTATTAAGATGTGAATCCTACTCCAATATTTCTTTGGTGTTTCACATGCCCACTATTTATTTATTTATTTAATTTAACTTATATACCGCCCTATCTCCAACAGACTCAGGGCGGCTCACAACAATAAAATCCACAATAACCACAATACAAAGTTAAAATACCTATACATGATAAAAGTCCCATCTACTTTTGCATTTCCAACATTCATTTGAAATACCTTTATACGTTCTTGACAACTTATCTGGTGTTAAATAGTTTAGTTTAGTTTAGTTTATTTGATTTATATACCGCCCTACTCCCGAAGGACTCAGGGCGGTGAACAGCCACAGGATAAAAACACATAAATACAAAATTTAAAACTGAATAAAACCGAATTAAACAATTTGGCCGAAGACATTTTTAAAACACCCCAATAAATTAAGAACGAATTAAAATTTGCATTTTAAAAAGGGAAAAAAGGGAAAAATTAGGCCAGGCCAGCCTGATGGAATAAAAAGGTCTTGAGAGTGCGGCAGAAGGTGCGTAGATCCGGGATCCTCCGTATCTCTGGGGGGAGCTCATTCCAGATAGTAGGCCCCCACAGAGAAGGCTCTCCCCCTGGGGGCCACCAGTCGACATTGTTTGGCCAACGGCACCCGGAGGACCCCCTCTCTATGAGAGCGTACCGGCCGGTGGGAGGCTACTGGTGGCAGCAGGCGGTCCCGTAGATAACCAGGTCCTAAGCCATGGAGCGCTCTAAAATACATCATCTTATAGAAGTTTTCTTTTAAATTATAATTTAGTGTAAATTTTAAACCTTTCATCCACTCCCACTGTTCAAGCATTACATTATATCCAAAGTCCCTTGCCCACTGAATCATGGGATGCTTCACATATTCATTTTCCAAATTCAAATTCAATAACAATTTATAGACCTTAGCAATAATATGTTTATCACTATCATGCAGTAGGATTTCTAATTCATTTTTCACAAAATCAAACCCATAACTCTTTTTGTCAGATTTAAATCTTTCTTTCAATTGTAAATATGTAAACTAATGGCAGACACATCCTTCTGATTCTAACTCTTCCTTAGACTTAAGGATAGGATCACCAAAATTAAAAGATATTATTTGACCATAAGTCCACCAGTGTGGCTTTACTACCTTTTTTTTTTCTTAAAAAAAGCTTCCTCGGGCGACACCCAGAGAGGCATCTTCACAGAAAACTTGTTTTATATTTATTCCAAACTCTTAGGATGGCACATCTAACAAAATGGTCATTAAAATCAACATTTACTTTAAACTTGTCATACCATAGATAACCGTGCCATCCAAATCTTAATTCATGACCCTCTAAATCAAATAGACTCTTATTTTAGAGGTTCACCCACTCTTTTAGTTAGACCAAACAAATAGCATTGAAATACAATTTCAAATCTGATAAACGCAGACCTCCTCTTTCCTTAGCATCTTGCACAAGTTTATATCTAATTCTTGTTTTTCCCCTTGCCATATAAAGTTAGAAATACTCATCTGCCATTGTTTAAGTGGAGTATCAGTTGCAAGTATTGGTAACTTCTGAAACAAAAAGCCATCTTTGGTAAAATATTCATTTTAATTACAGATATTCTACCCAATAATGATCAATGTATCACAGTCCTGACAAGCATTGTTGTTTTCTGTTTGTTTATTTTAAAATCCGCTAAAACTCCAAACTCATTTAATTTCCTCATCAAATATTCTATATTATTTTTTGGGTCTTACAAAAATATAACCAAGTCATCAGCAAATATCCTCAATTAATGAACTTCCTTGTTGATATTTATACCTGCTATTTTTTCATCTTGCCTAATATTTCTACTCAAGATGTCCAACACCGATATAAGCAACAAGACAGAAAAGGGGCATCCTTGTCTCATACCCTTTTGAATTTCACATGAATTGCTTAGATCTCCATTAATAATAATCTTTGCTTGCTGTGATGTATAAACTGCTTTAAGCCCTTGAATAAAATTCTTCACAAAGTCCATATCTTCCAAAACTCTGAACATAAAAGCCCAATTTAAATTGTCAAGGGCCTTCTCTGCATACAAGAATATTAAAGCTGTTTCTCATTATGATATTGTAAATATTCAATAATATTCAAAACAATCCTCACATTATCCCTTAACTGTCTTTTTTGGCAGAAAGCCAAAAAAGGGGGTGTTTTTGCCCTCCCCAGCCCCAAGGAGCACTCTGCAGGCATCCCAAACCCTCTGCGCTCCCTGTTTTTGGGAAAAACGGGCCCATTTTTCGTAAAAATGGGATGTGCACGGTGGGGCTTCAGGAGGCCAAAAATGGCTGTATTTGGTGTATAAGACGCACCAACATTACCACCCTCTTTTTGGGGGGGAAAGTTCGACTTATACTCCGAAAAGTATGGTATTTGTTGAAACTCTGTACAACTATAAGAGTAGAGCTGCCATGCAACTTAATTATATTGTCTTTGCTTCAGAAAATGCATCCTTTATCTTTATAAATAAATAGTTATAGCACAGTAAATAGCATGAACCACAAACAAGATATTAATCTTAGAGGATTTTGTACAATTGAGATTAATTAGTTTGACACTCATAGATAATATTAACAGCTGAAAAACTTAAAAGACTATCATTGATGTATATATAGTATACCTAGTAAACATCGTTATCCCAGATCTTGAAATGAAGCACATTTCAGGATTAAGAAATTGATACTCTGTCAGGATATCTTGACACAGCACTAATTTAGCCTGATTTATTAGTCATAAAGGAAACAACATTTGAATTTTTATATATATATAGAAAGTATGGAAAAGAACTTGAGAAATTTCATTATGAGTCAGTAGGGAAGAATTTTGAAATAAAATGGCATAGCATTTCCCTTCATTTATCCATTTATCTTCCTTCATTCCTTAATTATTTGTAGCACAAATTTCAGTGCACCTAGACAAAATTGTCAAAGCATACTTCTCAACTTATTCTGAATGAAAACATTTTTCATTTTTTTCTTTAGCTTTTTTTTAAAAATAAATTGCGGATCAGTCCGTGCCAGTTGGAGCACACGCGGCCATGAGAGGAAAGAGGCTGGCTGAGCTGTACCCAGATGCTTCCTGGCTCCCCTTGTCCCAGAAGCATCAACCTTGCACTCTCCCCTCTCTGCTAGCGGCTGCCCCCTTCTCCCTCTCCCTCCTCGCTGCCAGGCAATCCCGTGTGAAGAAAGGGATGGCCGCTAGCAGAGAAGGGAGAGTGCGAATGAGGTTGGTGCTTCTGGGATGAGGGAAGCCGGGAAGCATCTGCGTCCGGCTCAGCCAGCCTCTTTTCCTCTCACAGCCACGTGTGCTCCAACCGGCACGGACTGATCTGCAAGAAGGTTTGATTCACAGCAATCCTGTAGCTTCCAGGTGATCCCGTGTTCCCTGCCGCTGCCAAACTCGGTTGCAGAGGCTGGTGTGTGCCAAACGGCATTGGTACTGGGCTTGGCAGAGGCTGAAAAGAGGGAGTCAGGGAGGGCCGGAGACCTACCAGGAGCGCGAGCTCTGGCCAAACTTCCTGGAATGGCTCCAGTACAGAGGCTGGTGGCGCCATGGTGGTAGCCACATGGTTCAGATACCAAAAAGGAAGTAGAAAGGCCAAACAGCACAGGCGCAGAGAAAGGGGGCAAGAAAGGCTCCCTGCTCCTGCCCCACTCCCCTTAGGTGCCATCACAGCACGAAGCAGCTCTAGCAAGGTTGGGTGAGTGGCCACGTGGTGAGACGAGCCACCCGGCAGGCAGAGACTGGGAGGGACGAGGCTTCAGCCGATTGAGCAAACAGTTAATAACCGATTCTAATGAACCAGCTGAATCCCATCACTGCAGCTGGCCCTCCCCCACCAACCCTCTGGCCCAGGAGCACATGGCTGCACCGCCAGCATTACCCCTCTGCCAGCTGGCTGCAGCTGCTCCCCCACCCACCTGCCAGCCTGGGAGCATGTGCCTGCGCCGCTGGCATCACCCTTCCACCAGCCGGCCTTCCCCCACCTATCCGTGCCCTTCAGCCTTACCTTTGCGGGCAGATGTGATGCAGTGAGCAGAAATGTGCAGAAGTATGGTTCAAATGAACAGAAGTGGAAGATAAGGCTGACAGCTGGAGGAGGGGCAATGTGGGCGGCACAACCTTGTGATCAGCAAGGCACCTCCTCCCCAGGCCCCTGTCATCTGGGAAAAGCCAGCAATGTGAGGAGTGGCTGGGAGGAAAGGGGCAAAGGGCAGAGCGAGGGGTGGGGCTGAATCCCACCAGTCCGTGGGCTGGATACATTGCATCGGCAGGCCATAGTTTGAGGACTCCTGCCTTAAGTAATGAAATATTTCTTTATGCTTAGATGGGGCATTTGCCCTATTAATATTCCATGTTATAAACGTAATCTCCATCCTTGGATAAAATAGTTAAGTTCCTGGATGGTTATCTCAGTAACATCTTCTTCAGTAAAAAACTTTTTGAGGTTGATCTACTTCTACTTGCTTGTCTGTATCCATTTCTTCAGCTGGGTCCAAAATTAGTTTATATTTGTTCAAGAAGTCCTTCGGTTTTTCTATAGAATTCAGTCTGAATATTTGCTATTGATAAGTGAATATCATTCCTTCAAGTTTATCCCAGCAGAAGGGAATTTTTACCTTCTTCAGGATATCAGTAAGGAAGAAATAAGCTTTCCTTTTTCTCAAAATTCTGACAGGAATTTCCTTCAAAACAATTATATCCCTGTTTTCCATTCTTAGTTTAGATTTAAAGTGGCAATCCAAACCATGATCTCTCTTTATTCTTCTTACAAAATGGCCTGAGACATCCCTTGGTAATTTTATTGTAGTAGCAAATCTGGAATTTATTCTATAAATTTTGTCTATTTCAAAGTCAAGGGTCTTTTTCCCAATTGATTAACCTGGCCAAGGCTTTAATCATTCTTGATCTAATATCGTCTCCAGACAATTAAGGAATTTCTCAAAATCTTAATTGAAGATGCATAAACTGTAATTCCAAAAGAGCCCTTTCATCCAAATCAGCTTCATACTGGACATCTTTCTTCTCCAATTTATGCTCCATCAGATCCACTCTATCCTTCACCTGTTAATATCTCCAGTCAAGTGTTGTATCTCCTCGCAAAGTGCCTTTGAAAGTGTATCAAGTTTTGATTCTTGTTCACATTGTCTGAATTAGTTCATGTGTTTTAGCTGTATATTCATCCCAAAAAGATCTTAGAGATTCTGCATCTTCTGATGTTCTTTAGCCTTCTCAATTTAATAAGAGCTGTTGATTAGCACTGCTTAAGTATTATTTTTATGTGTATCCATTTAATTTCAAGTGATCTAGCCAAAACTTAATTAGCATGCTAATCTGAATGTCAATGGGTTACTCAAATACTAACTGAAGTCAAGATATATTATGTCTATACAATTCCCACATTCAATTATGGAAGTTACCAAGTCAAAATATGAGATAGTAGATATTTTTAGATAGGCATATCACCTGGCAAGATTTGTTCCAAAAATTCATATTGTCTCAGAAATTTTTAATGTGCTTATAAATCAGTCTTTTTATGATCTACTTCTACAGTCTTCACAGGTTTTGATGTCAAGCTGAATAGACTATGTTGCTGTATCATTCTCTTCCCACTTTCTGAATGTAAGGGGGGAAAAACTCTGAGTCTCCTCCATTAATTAGGTACCTACTAGGTTCTCCATATTTTCTCAAAGATAATACTTAACAGTTTGACAATAATATTAGCTATTTTTTAGTACTGTAGGATGCAATTCCTCTGTCTCTGGAAATCTAAACTCTGAATAAACTCCTTACATTCAGAAAGGGATGTTTTCTGACAATGATCTCTTGTACTACTCTCTGACATAATCAGTATATTATATTCTTTAATGCTTAAACAAGCATATTATGGCTTATGATAAATGGCTTGTTTTTGTTCTATCTTAAATTTCTCCACATTCCCCTCCTTATATGGTCTTAACTTCAGTAGTTTAGCTGCATTGCTGCAATCTTTGCTTAACGCTAATCTTTGTTCCTATTGAACAGGCTACAGATTATCTCATTAAATAATGACATAATAAAAATAGGAGGAAGGTGGATATATTTGCTACCCTTAGTTATTTGTAAAAAATAATATGGTACAAATAAATAGAAAATAAATGACAGACAGACAGACAGACAGACAGACACACACACACACACACACACTGACTTAAAATAGTGGGGCGTTTGCTTTTTGTTTTGTTTTTTCAATTTGTCAGCATTTTGCTATTTTTATTGACCAACTAGTATTCTTTTCACTACTTTTTTAGATATTCCAGAAGAAGCTTTTTGTTGTTGTTCTTAGCATCTTTCATCAAACTCAGCCTATTTTGAGCATTTGTATTATGACACCAACTCTATGATTCCAAGCTACTTCTGTCCTTCCATTCACCCATTTTTTTTGTTTTTAATCTTCATTAACTTTTTTGGTATAGCTATACTGGGATGTTGTATTCTTCCCTGCTTTTCCAAACTGGAATTGCATTTAAGTATAACGAATCAAAAGCACAGGCATGCTGCTTGGAGCAGTACACATAAAAAATATCTAAATTGACATAATAAATTAAGACAACATTCAGAATTAGCAGGGTATCTTTAAAAAGTAATTAAAACTTAGGGTACATTGCAGAACCATAATGTCACTGGCAAGATTGCCAATTCTGGGCACATTTTATGAAAGACGTTGGTAAAGTGTCTCAAAGAACAGAAGCCAGGAAACTTGAGGGGGTTGGAAATTAAGTACTATGAGGTTCTACAGAAAGAGCTGGATATATTTATCATGGAGAAGAAAACTTAAAAGGGGTAAGAAAACAAATATGACATAACTAAAAATCAGGGCAGAATTGAATTTCTTCAAAGACTAAAATTAGATCTACGCTATAGATATGCAAATTTTGGTTAAATATTAGAAGAATATTCTGATATTCTTTCAAACAATTGATGATCTAGAAATCATAGTAAATAATATTTGGGTAAATTTTCATCTAACATTTACATATTGTTTTTACTCAATTTGGCAGGCATCTATGCAACAGACTTCAATAATATAATACAACAAAAATCCTACTTGAATTTATGAAATCTAATATCATTTATATAATGGTAATAACTCATGTAAAATGACACAAATTATATATTTTGTATTATGTGTTTAAATGATGTAAAATTTTATACATACATTACGGTATATAATTTGCATAATGACATCACTATGATGATAAATTTTACAATTTAATGGATAACAGGAAGTAAATGATAAAGACACCCACTCCTGAACTCACCATTAAATCAAAGTTTCAGTGCACCTGCACAATTCAGAAAAGCATGGATTTTGAATAAAAAATTATTCTGATTCATACAAATTTTATATCATAGATATTTTAAAAGTATATCAAGTAACTTAGTATAAAAGTATAAAAAATTCTATCTGGATGAATTTTTGCCTCAGTTCTTAAATGAAAGTCTTCCAAACTTCAAAAGATGTCACATATTAAATTTGCTTTTAAACATCATATTGAACTTTTGGATCTGATAAATTTGAAATTCGAAGTAAATATATTTAGGGAGGGAACTTCAGAACCAACATTTTAAAGAATGTAACTCTTGTGTCAGTTTTATTAATTTTCCAGATGGGTCCAACACTGAATGATACCATACCATCTTGATATATTTAAAAGATATAAAATATCTTTTATAATATACGTGCAACAGATAATGAAGAGTTACTTTTTGGTTACTACAAATGTACAATTAAACACACATTAACAGAAACTCTTTTCTGAATTTATCTTTTATATTGGTCTCAGCAGAGTTCTCCTGTATAAACAATGATAACACCTACCTGTTCTTCAGGTGGAATCCCTGTCTTCTCTCGTATTGATTGGATACTATGCAGAAACTACAATGGGTGAAACAATGGAAAGCTATATTAATGCAGAGGAACTTGTGTCAAAATGAGAAGCTACAGAAGCATGTATTTGTTATCTTTGTCCTTTCCTTACCACACATCTGTATATTTATTCAAATTTCAACAGCAATTCTCTACCCGTCTACTCTTGATGCATTATTTGACATTCCAAAATCCCAATGAATCATTTCAAGCTATGTTGCATATAACCCAAAACTTCTGTAATAAGATTGTGAAATGGTTTTAAATGGCTTAAAAAATGGCTTTATCACAGAGTAAATCACTGTCCCTAAAAGACGGTGTGTAATTTGTCTGAAACGAACAAGAAGTACAATTGATGTATACTGGACAATATGAAATATTGGTAACTACTGAAAGTTAATAGTAGCCTCAATCCCATCTCGGTTGACTGACTCGGGGACTCTGCTTACAGCTTTGATAAAAGAAATAAGGCAACATGACTGGCTTATAATCTCATACATGCTGGAATCTAAAAATATCCAAATTATTCAAGAGAGTGGAATGCAATAGTGAAGACCATTCAAGGAACAAGAAGTAGTCCCCTTGTGTGACAACAGAATAGGGTGCTTGATTCTACCTCTGCTGTTGCTTCATTCTGCTTGCAGACAGTTTCCATGCCTCCTAATTTCCAGTGTCCATCCTCACTCACAAATACAGAGGATAAGCAGATATTGTTGTGGGTTAGATTTCCCTATAGGTGTTTTTAAAAAGATAAAAAATACACAGTAAGACTGGGAATAGTTAAATATAAAACCCTTGTTAGTACTAATTGGATATCCTGAGACAACAAAGGACAGCAGTCAAAACCACAGAGGAACTTTATATCCCACCAGAGAACTAGAAAAAAGGGTGTGTTATGTCAGGCCAAGTTTATACTAATCAGTTTATTACGGACACACATCTGGACAAAAAATAAAGGGGAACCTTTGTTGTCTGCAATTTAACTAAACTTGAAAAGGAATGCACCTCCATCAGCAAGCCTTTAAGTCCATTTCATCATCCCTATTTAAAATGCCCACTTTGATATTCCCTCCTTATATAAACACTACCCTAAATTCTTGTTCACCTAGGCTAGAGGTTGGGAGACATTACCCTGCCCTGCCCTGCAACCTGTAACCATTGTCAAAGCAATAGTGAAAATGTTTGATTGTAATAATGCTGACTTCCAGCAACCCAACTAACAATGGCTTTTTAATTGAAATAGAATGCTTGACAATAAGATGGCTCCCTCTCCTGCAATACTATAACTGCTTATTCTTTCAAAGATCAAATATAATGAAAATATGATATTGACAATTAATTTTCTATTATTTGGATAAGATTGAAAGGATTTTTCTTATTCTGGAAATTATGACAGTTTAGGGAGTAGAACGGTATTTGAGTATCATTTTTGAACTCTCCTATTGGTTAGCTTGGGAGATAAATGATTGGCTCATGAGTTTTCTTTGTCTCTTCTCAGCATTCTGATGCTAACAAAAGTGATGATCAAAGGATGGATCCAGAACAGAGACTGGAAACCAAATGATAACATGCCCTACATCAGGCCTATGAAAAATGCACATATATAAAAATATGGCATAATGTGATTTATTTTTCATTAGGTGACACAAAATTATGTTAAAAAACAAGAAAACTAAAGCAGTAAAAAGAAACATGTGACATTTGATAGATACAGTAAATATAGTGTAATTAAAGTAACAAACTAATAAAGCCAATCTCCATATGTCTCTCTTTATTTTGATTGGAAAGTGCTTAACTGTCACACTCACCCTATCATGAAGAAACACAAGAGCCTGTAAAACATCATAGATTCCAGCACATATCTCTGAAGAAGAGAGAGCCTCCAGGACCTTTTCCAGTGGTTGCACATGCTCTGTAACCAGGTGAATTCCATCTACTTCCACAGTACACGAAAGGAAGCGCAGAAGGCAAGGATGGCGTAACGTTTTCAGGTGCTTTCAAAATGCAAACAAAACAACCACTCAGTATGATATACATATAAACACTACCCTCAGTATGACATACATATTACCATATGCACACATTTCATATCCAATAGTGAAAAGGGAAAAAAGACAAATATTATACACTTCCTTGTCTATAGCATGATTTCCATATGGTTACTAAGCAAATTGACTATTTCATTAGAATATTTGGACAAAATTAATTCTAGTTTGTTCTCTAGTAGTCAGAATTTCCACCTATATATTTGTTTCAAATTCTAGCTTCATACATAAAATGAGACAGAAAATCCTGGCACTCCAAAACCCTAATTTTAAATAACATCAAATAGGTGATGTACATGTAGGCTATCGACATTTTTCAATAAGTCTGTAATGTTTTTGAAGGAAAACTCACAAACAATTCTATGGAAGTTTCAGTCTCCAGTGGCAAATACTCTATACAATATGGAAAATGTCTGCAAGCATCACTCACTATGATCCAAAAAATGTAGATCAAAACCTTTAGGATTCCCCAAAGAATCCTGATATTTGATATGTATAATAATTTTAGCTCAGTTTTCTTAAAAGTAATTCCATATGCTTATTCCATATACTTAAAAAAATCTAAGAATACTTAAAATTTTCCCAACTACATTAAAGAACATATTATAAGAATTAACACCCTGTGATCAGATCACGCATTTCTTTTTTAAAAAGGGATTAAAATAAAGTAAAGTAGAACAGACACTAATAAAATTGCAATTGACAGAGCTTCTTTGAGCTCACCTGACCAGAAGGTATTTAAAATAATTTTGAAGACCACAGACAATGCGAATTGGAGAATAATGTCACCTTCCCTTACTATAGATATGTAAAATTGATGATGTCACCTAGTCATGAGGTAACAAGTTACCTAATAAAACATATTTAAGCAAACAACCAAGCTCAGAGAGCACCAAGAACTGCACATATGCAAAGTATTTTGAGACTGAAATGTCCAAATACTGAAACATTCCATTCAAATCCATTTTATTTCATGGACATCTTTTTGTTGGAAACTGAAACTAAATGCCAGAAACTGGCAAAAAATGTCCACAATTGCAGTAACATGACTGTAGTAGCCATAAATGTGAGCCATTAGCCAAATGCCCAAAATGCAATCCCATGACCTTGGAGGGTGGGGTGAGGGGGGGTTAAAATTTTGACATCGGGTGATGGGTACCTGATTGGGGGGGGGGTCAACCAATCCAGAACAGTTACAAATCAGCAATATTTTATCATTCACAATGATTCATAAACAAAAGTCAAGTCCTCAGATACTAACTCTGCCCTATTTTAAGCACTAATTTATGGCATAACAATAGCACCAATAGCATAATGAACTTGCCTCTCATTTAGTGTAAGCTTTCATCCCAGACAATGTTTCATTGTGCAAATGACAAACCAATCAATCTTGATGCAAAATATATGGTAATTATCTGAACTGAGAATGGCAGTAGGAAAAAAGCAGCCTATAGAAACACTTCAGCTCTTATATGCTGATATGCTATTGGTGATTTCAACAAAGCAATTCTGAGTCAAATGATTAGAAATACCTTTTTTTAAAAAAAAAACAACTAGCCTGAATTTATTCACAAATTTCTCATGCAGTTATAAAACTTTCTAATTATACCTCACACAATTAAGTCATTAGCGCAAGAAGATCTGTGTCACTGTCAGCAACTATTCTGTAAAATGGCCAGTTTTTACAAATATTTATCAGTGTCTGAGGCACTTATATTTATATGTCTAACCATTATGTTCTTCCCGTGCCTAGTCTTGAATGTAAATAGAACATAAAATACTAAGCATATAATTGCTAATTTCTTGTGAAAATATAGTCAGTTTTTTGTAAAACATGGTTTATATTTTAATGTTTCTAAAAACCCAACAGATATATTCAATAAATTATAACAGAACAACTATGATCAAGTATGATATGTGAATCCAACCATAATCCTGTCAGAATAATACTCTATGGGGTATACTCTATACATACCATGGTATACATCAGTAATCACTAGGAATTAAGCTCAACTTTACTTTTTGTACTGCCATTTCAAAGGCCATGCGTCTTTTCCACATAAATTGCCCTTGAAATTTCTACTAAAAAGAAATTTCATAAATTTCTATGCAAATAGTAATAATATAATAAATATTTCAATACCTTGGCAGCTCTGTTAACATTGTCTTCATTTTCTCTGTTGTAAACAAACACTGACGCAAGTTTGTCATGCTGCAATATTGCTGAATAAATATTGACTCCAGAAGGTAGTGTAAATGAAGGTTCATCCACTGCATCACGCTTTAAAGCACTGTTCTCTGATCCCATTACCTAACTCAAGGTGTCTTGGAATATATTTTATAGTAGAAGCTTTAAAGAGAAATGGTTTCATACAAATTGGTCCCAATTAGTGCAAAATTCCTTACATTCAGCAGCATTCATAACAAATTGTGATTATGCGATAATGCAAATCTTACAATTACACACTTACTGTGAATCATTTGTATAATCCAGAAACCTATGTGTTAGTATTTACATGATGCACATGTTGTTTGCAATTCTGGAAACAAAGAAGTAATCTTGTACAGAATATGAAAAAAGTTAGGTCAGTTTGTATGTGCTACTGAATTTCTAAATGAACAGAAGCTGACACAGCCTCTAAATGGTACAAATTTAAATACAACAGATCTAAAACACACTTTCAAATCAACTATGAAGTATTACAAGAAAAAAAGATCAAGGTTTGGAAATGGTCTTCACAGTAAGCAGATTTGAATATTGTTGAAAATCCATGGGGAACTCATATATACAGGTAGTCCTCGACTTACGACCACAATTGAGCCCAGAATTTATGTTGCTAAGTGAGAAATTTGTTAAGGGAGTTTTGCCCTATTTTAGGACCTTCCTTGCCACATTTGTAGTGTGAACCATTGCAGTTGTTGAATTAGTCACACAGCTGTTAAGTGAATCTGGCTTCCCTATTGACTTTGCTTGTCAGAAGTTCGCAAAATGAGCCTGGGACACTGTGACTGTCATAAACATGAACCAGTTGTCAAGCATCTAAATGTAAATCATGTGACCATAGGGATGCTTCAATTGTCATGTGAAAAATGGTCATATGTCACTTTTTTCAGTGCTGTTGTAACTTTGAAGAGTTATTAAATGAACTTTGGAAGCTGAGGACTACCTGTACAGTATATGCAAAAAGACCAAAGAATATTTTTTGAGCTCTGCAAAGTATGCAAAGAGGCAAATACAAACACCTTTAAGTCTCTTTAAGAAATTTTATTTCAGCCAGAGGAAGTACTGAGTTTCCAAGATTTTGCATCTAGCCTATAAATTGTTTTCTTATTTTGAATTGGTAAGCAACTGCACATAAATAGTAGGTATGCATTCAAATTTGCAAAAAGATCTATTTAAATTTGTACAATATAAAGACTGTCAGCTTCTTTTCATCTAGAGATTCATGAAATATACCATTTGCTTAGGGATACCTTAACTGATTAAAGTGAAGGAAGAAAATAAACAGAAACAGAAACTTTTAATTATTCATTTTTCCACATACATACATATATATTGGTGGTTGCTTATTTTTTGTTATTTACATTTTGATAAAATTGTTTTGCTTTTCTTTCCTCCCTAGTCATAGGCTTATACAATGAAAAAGGCACATTCAGAGTATTCCAGAAATTGCTAAAGAACATTTTCTGTACTTAAATTAGTCAATAAGAATTTGTTACCAAAAAGATAAATACAAGTTTCCCTTGCACTGAGCAACTTAAATTCTTCTTTGGCCATGGATTTTTATTTTAATTTATATCTCTTATTATTTTTAGAAATACTATTGTCCCCACAACAACGCCCCAGTGAGGTGGGTTGGGCTGAAAGAGTGACTGGCCCAAGGCCACCCAGCAAAGCAGGCTTTTTTTCATATCTAAAGGGGCACCTGAACTCATGGTCTCTGGCTTTCTGGGCTGGTGCCTTAACCATTAAATCAAACTGGCTCTCAATTTTAATTGGGTTTGTTGACTATTTATTTAATTGTCTTTCTGTATCCATTTAGAGATAATGGTGGAAAACACAAAGCACAAATTGAAGTGATAAACAGTAAATGCAATGCATTTAAATCACAGAAAATTGAAAGTTTGGAGACTCATAGAACAAAATTAGTTTGACCACCACTGACTCCTTTTTTAAAAAGTGAAGCAACACGTTTACCAGAAATACCAAAGCAGATTCATCATTCCTATTTATTTTTTAATGTACATGCCCCTCATTTCCATTGTGTGGCTCTAGGTGACTTACAGCTGTTAACTCTGGGTATTTCATTCTGCTTCCTGGCTCAGCTATGTCACTCAGCTATTCACTGGATCATTCACTCACAGAGAAATATACAAGTTCTGGTCACCTATCTAAAAAGTTGTATAACGTGACATGCCCCACTGTGAGAAGTAAGGAACAGATGTTCTAGGCAGAAAAAAATGTTTCAAACAGAAACACACAGAAGAGGGCCAGAAGATCGTGAAATAAAGCAATATTAAGTCTGTAACTCAATGTCAGATCATCAGACCTACTCTTATATTTCAGAGACAGACGAGCAGAAAAGAGAAACTGACTGACTTATCCAATTGAACTCTACTCTCTGTAAATGTGCCGGTTAATATTTAAAATGTCACAGGACTCTCCACCTTTCTGGAATAAAATTCTATGACGATAAAACAAGGAACTAATAATGCTCCGACGTTGGGCGGCTCTCTTCCTTTGCTGAACTGCGCCTCAGCGCTGATGACAGGCAGTCTGCTTACTGCATGGTAAGCAAATCGCCAGGACCGGGACCAGAGCTCTCCTGAAAAGACACCGAACCCCAATAGTTAATCCTTTCTCGGCAGCGTCGAGCTGAGCAATTACCCCCGGCCCGGTATCGGGAAACCAAGCGCCCCTCCCCCGCCCCAGAACTGCCCGGGCTGTCACCGCCGGTTGGCTGGCGCCCTCTCACCTGCCACCCCGCCGAGGGGGAAGGAAAGAACCGAGCTGCCCTCACCGCCCCACTTCCTCAACAGCCACTTCCACAACAGGCGCTGAGGGAAGGGGAAGGTAAATTTCCGGCTTACGCAGACCATAGAATCACACCGGAGGATCCACTGACGCCCACAAGATCGTCCCTCTCTCCGCACAGTGGTCGGTGGCGCCATATTGAATGAGGGCAGTAGAGTCTGGCAAGGAGCGCTTAGTCGACGGAGCAGGATCGCGGTAGCTTGTTAAGCTCAGGGGCGTAAAATGTCGATTAATAAAGAATTAATAAAAAATGTCTATTAGGAAGCTAGGGAAAACGCTGGTATGTCCATATTGCAACTCTTGCCACAGTTAATTTCTAATAATATTTTGCCTTTGCATGGTGTGTAGGGGACCGTCGTTTTATGATGGAAGAAGCTTCCTGGAATGAAATGGCGTTGTCCCCGAAGGCACTTTTCTAGCGGCTGCACTAGAGCACTGTTCTTCGATGTAAAAGCAGAAAAGTGCGCCAGCGGGGAGAACTGTGTGGGGTGTCCTTAACATGGCAGATCTTCGAACCAGAGGAGTAGCTCTGCCTGGCGGTAGGGAGTGCCTCCTTTGAATCCCTGGCCCTCGGGACTGCTGCTGTTAGTTCTGTGATCTCCACGGGTTGCCACAAATGAGCCCTTCCCTCTGCTTCTCCTGTCAACCATGGCAACAGAATAAGCAGGTATACATCCCCTCCTTTCCCCCCCCTTCTGCTTTGCTTGCAAAAGGTGGCAGGTGAAGGAGTGGGAGAGAATGGGGGAAGGAGGTATTCTGTAGATAATGATGCAATTTCAGGGAAGTTTCCCCCCCCCCCCATCTTTGCCACAAGGGACAAAAGTGGGGAAGGATACCAGATATGTATTGAAACATCTTTGGTTCTACTGGTGAAAGGCCTTTGGCAGGGTTGGGATGGGAGTAGTGTACTCATCCAAACTCTACTTCACCACTCAGCTGTCTTGGTTGCTCTTCTTTAGTAACTTAAGAGGGTTGCAAGTGAAGAGCATTGGCTTGTAGTGGTTCTCCTTCCTCCAGGGCCAGTTCCAGTTGTATTTGTGGGCAGGATAATGGGCACTTTAAGTCTTAGAAATTAGTTTGGAGCAACACAGGGGAATTATCCCTGCCATAAAAAACCATTGGCTTTGTGCAATTTTTGGGCTAAGGTTTTACTTCAAAACAAACAGCCCATATTAATTTACCTCCTTTAATAAAATAGACCCCACCTGCAATGTGTTAGAGGTTGATTTTTAGGAAGTTAAGTTTTTTTTAAAAAAAACATTGTTTTTAGTTCATGATTTTAAATTTTTACTTTGGGAATTACCTGGAAAATGTCAGCTATGTCATATACAAATGAAGTATCTATGTAATTTATAATTTTGGGATTACATTAACATCATTTTTTGTTTTAACTTTTTAAATATTAAAGTAATCCAACATAATCCAAAAATAAAGAGCTATCAAGACATTAGCAGACATTAGAAAATGACTATTAAATAAAGATACTTTTTAAAAAAGTTGCTGCAGATTTTGAAGACAAAAAGGGACAATGTATTGTATGACATTTCTGCCAGCAACTTTTTTCCCCCAATGAAATTTAACTATGTATCCTATACGTCAGGAAAATAAATTTGGCTGAGTCTGTCTCAACTGTGATCTCAGTAGAAAGTAAGTTTAGAAAAAATATTTTGATGCCAATTTAATTCCCTTTGTTAAGATTGAATTGTTTTTGAAATGTTCGAGCCTTATCACTATTCAACCTGCCAAAGAACTGGGTGGGGGGGGGAGGAAGGGTGAGAAAGAATGCAGAAGCTCCAGGGAGAGACTGTGAGAGCCAAGAACCCAGGTCACTGATGCAGGTGTCCGACAAAGAAGTGAACTGTTCTCAAAACAAAAGGACGATTCATAATTGGACAGTGTGAATATCCATGGGTGGGGAAAGGGCGAAGCCATTGTTTAATCATGAAATCATTGTGTGGGAAAAACCAGAGCTGGTTTTGATTCTTCAGTGCCAAAATGGTGTTTTGGTATTACAAAATTCCTGAGAGTGCCTATTTCTTTTGGGTTCGCTAGCCGGACAATTGACACCCTTCTTCCCCAACAACAAATCAAATTGCCTGGTAAAGACAAGTAGTGCTTAGTGACGTTTCCCATAGCACTCCCATCTTTCACACGGAATCTTATTTTTTTTAAAGGTCAAATTCAAAAGAGAAACATAAAATTCAAATTCAGAATAGAGCTGGAAGAGAACCTTGGAGGTCTTCTGGTCCAGCCCCCTGCTCAAGCAGGAGACTCTATACCAGGGGTGTCAAACTGGTGGCCCGATAAATCATGCCCAGGCCATGCCCACTCCAGCTCTGCAAAGGCAAAAAAGTCACGATACATCATGTGATGTCACATGACGCAATTGAGTTTGACACCCATACCCTATACCATTTCAGACAAGTGGCTTTCCAGTTTCTTCTTAAAAACTCTAGTGATGAAGCACCCATAACATATGAAGGCAAGCTGGTCCACTGGTTAATTGTTCTGTTAGCAAGTTTCTCCTTAATTCCAGGTTGCTTCTCTCTTTTTATTTATTTATTTTTATTTATTTAAAACAATACATCAAAAAAAAAGAAATAGTCAAACAAATGATCGCGACAGGAACTTTACATGATATTTACACTTTCTACGGTATGTAGGCTTCAGTCAGATTTAACATATATTAAACATAATCCTGGTTATACTTGACTTTTTGGGCGTCTGTTGTTCAACCAAACGTACCATTTGTCCCAACATTGGAAATATACGGAGTCCTTTTGATCTCTCAATGTTTTAGTCAGTCTGTCGGCTTCCGCATAATCCAAAATTTTCTCCAAAATCAAATCTTCAGCCGGCAGGTCTTTCCCCTTCCAATGTTGGGCGAAACATATTCTTGCTGACGTGGTGATAAATACACACAGACACCATATATTTGTGCCTATGTTGTCTGGCCTAATGTTCAGTAGATAGTACTCTTCTCTCCTTGATTAGTTTCTATCCATTTTTTTTCCCTACCCTCTGGTGCTTTGGAGAATAAATTGACCCCCTCTTCTTAGTGGCAGCCTCTCAAATACTGGAACACCCGTCGTCATTCCTAGTCCTCTTCTCCAGGCTAGCCATACCCAAATCCTGCAACCATTCATGGTTTAATCTCCAGGCCTTTAATCATCTTATTTGCTCTTCTCTGCACTTTTTCCAAAATCTCAACATTTTTTTTGTAATGGGACTAAAACTGGATGTAATATTCCATGTGGTCTTATTAAAGTTTTATAAAGTAGTACCATGTTTCCCTGAAAATAAGACCGTCTTAAATATTTTTTTGAACCCTGAAATAAGCGCTTGGCCTTATTGCCATGCGCTCAAAAGCCCGATTGGGCTTATTATCAGGGGATGTCTTATTTTGGGAGAAACAGGGTACTAATACTTCTAATGATTTTGATTCTGTGCCTCTGTTTATACAACCAAGGATTGTATTAGCTTTTTTGGCTGCTGCCAGACACTGCTGGCTCATATTTAAGCGATCGTCCACTAGGACTCCAAAGTCCCTTTCAGAGTTACTGTTTTTGAGCCAGGTTTTATCTAATCAGTACTTGTACCTTTGGTTTTTCTTGCCTAAGTGTAAAACCTTGTTTTTCTCCACATTAAATTTCATTTTGTTGGATAGGGCCCATTGTTCAAGTCTGTCAAGACCATTTTGGATACTGAGCTTGTCTTCTGGGGTGTTGGCTATTCCTGTCAGTTTAGTGTCATCTTCAATGAAATTGAAGTGTCAACTTCAATGAAATTTATGGAATCTGACGGTTTTACAGAGGCGATTAAGAAAAGGCATGGCACAATGTGTGTCTTTGTGAATGTGCAGGTGGTGCTGATCATGCGGATGAAAATAAATAGAAAAGCAGATAAAGACATTTCAAAGCTCATTTCAGGAGGTAACAAATTCCGTTTTTTTTTTCTTGTTCAGGTTCATGAGATGTTAAATTGAGGGACTTTGGCATGCACAAAAGTTACATGAGTTTTCCTTTCACAATACATGACCACTCTTCTAGAGAGAATGCATGCAAAATTGAACATCTGAGGCACTTCTTCCCCCACCTCAGTGCCATGAACATTTTCAGTGTGCCAAAACTGGCTAGGATTGTAGGAGTTGCAATTGCAACACATTTGGAAGGGGCCAGTTTGAGAAACTTTGATCTAGACATCTCTGAAATGTTTTTGTTAATAGGTGCAGAGACCCTACATATGTGTTTGCACAAAGGTATTTGCTGTTATTTGACTCCCGGGAAATTAGATAAATTTTAAAAAAAGATTTATAATAGAATATTCCTGGGAAAGTTGGTGAAAAAAGGAATTCTACATATTTTGAAATTACTGTATATTATATTATTTAGTCACTGTTCCTGAAAAAAAAATTAAGCTTAACTGTATCCCTAGCTTCTTAACAAATATTTTGGCTACTGTGCAGAACATTTCTAATACAGGGTAAGTACCAAAATTATAATTCATCCTACAATTTGCAAACAGCATTATACATTATGAAATTTCAATTGATTTTAAATTCAAAATGTATATCACATCTGTGCTATGAAATGACATCAATACAACTAATCACATCCTGGGGAAAAATCTCACAGAAAGGAAAGGTACTAAGAATATTACTCAGTTTTTTCAATGGTATTATAAAGCATAAACCAGTTATATCTTTTATACATCAATTAAATTTTTATTCAGAAACAAGATATATTAGTTTAACTCATGGACCCTGGGCATACAGTGTAACAATCATTCAGTCTATTTTTAAGGTAATTAAATTAATTGCTCAATATACATAACATTAACTTTCCAGTTACTAGGTTCCAACATCTGGAGGGAAAAAACCCCAACAGAAATAATGCATAGCTGGAGAAGGAAGGGAATTGAATTACTAACATTTTCCTGGGACAACAACAAACATGTATCACAGTCGTGTAAACAGTAGCATCATGCATTGATAATAGGAAAAAATGCCCTAATTAAGACACAATTCAACAGTACAGTAAGTTTAATATGGTAGATTGCTTTATCGG